TCCCAAATGATATCAAGTGTCATGTAGGGGTATTGGTGTATTTAAAGAAGTAGTATAACAATAATTTAGATCAAGTTCAATCATTCTTTTTTTCACCATCTATTGTAAACAGTTTGTATAGAATTATATATAAATAAAACGGTTGGTTCAGTAAACAATTCAGGTGTGTAAAGAAGGTCATATTAATGAAATACCTTTTATATATATACATATGCGGGACAGCGTGAATGATGGAGATACTGTAGTGGTAACGTAGTTTCATATTTACGTTATTTTATGCGGTTTTTAAATGCATTTCTCGAATTTGTTTTAATACATTCTGTCCGATTAAAATAAGTTTTGTGATTTTTGGTTCAGTGACTCCAGACGGATTGTTTTAAATTTCGTGACGAGGCAACAGGTAAAATATTATTCAGGTATTTACTGACAGATGTTACATGTATATTAAAGATTTTTATCGTGAAATTTTAATGGACGGAGATTTAACGCTTAGGCACTGCATAAGGAAAAGCAAAGTTATGTTCGAATAGTAATGTTACAACGTTGATTGTAACTTTTGTACTGCACAGCGTTTTAAGCTAAATACAATTATACGTACTTCTTTTTCTTGATTTAGAAGGATTAAGGACGTGTTAATATTGGAGGGTATTAGCTGACTGACCTAGATTATTATTTTTATTTGTATAAATAAATCATTAAGAAAATAATAAGAAATGCTTGTTATGACTTAAGTTGATGCTGTAAGTCCTAAACTGTGCAAGAACCAAAAAGGATAAGCTTTTGCCACCTGAGTTTTAGGACCAGGCCAGCCTACACATCTGTGCAGTTTGACCAGGTGGTAAACTGTTAGTAGCTCTTTTTTGGTATATTTGAAATTGAAATCCCTAAAATCTTTGAATGGACTGTTCCAAATTTAAAGCAGGGCAAGTTAATTATACAGTTTAAGGGTGTATTAAGTGTATTAAGACTAAGAATGTCAATTTCTTCAAAATTCTTCAAAATTTGGTTTCCCTTTTAATATTCAGAGTGCTGCTCAATATTTCCTTACTGTATTAAGAGACAGTCTGCTTAATTTTTAGTTGTTTGGTTATTGAAGTCCCTGAAATTTAATAACAGAGGATAATGCCAGTCTGAAAGCTCAGCTATAAATCTTTATTGAACTTGTTTGTATATCTTTCAGTATGGACAATAAAAAAAATTTCCGGAAATTTTTAAAATATGTACAGACTGAATAGCAAACAGTTCAGACCATGATGAGACAGCACAGATGTTCTGGCTGATCATAGTCTGCACTGATCGCATGAAAATAGTCAGTTGCTGCCCACAGGCCGATGGTTAAGGTGGTTGTGGTATTGGTAGTTTTCACTATGGATCACGGCAATAAGCCACATTTAATTTACCGCTGTCAAGCAGTTTACCAGTACTAATTGCCTTCACTTTCGCAAGGAACTGAATTTTCTGTACATGGAATCGAACTTGGGTCACCTGATTCACAGTCTAACGCTCTACCTATTGAGCTAACTGGACTGCTTATGTCGAGGGTTATAATGCAGAGAATGAAATTTTATAACCAGTTGTGTTGTACACTAGACAAATAACAAACATAGTTATGCTAATTTGTTAATTAAACATGCATAGAGGCGTATTATAATTAGCAACAATTTAATTTTGTCATTTAATCGTACATAATTATACTTTACATTAACTGTTAACTTGTTGTACAATAATAATGGTTTGATTATAGTAAAGAAAAGTACGAGATGTCAAAATGATAAAGTGCTATAGTGACGGAGCGATTCAATAATAGAAGTGATACTGAGTCATGAAATTGATAGAACTGAACATAACGTAGCTAGGGTTGGCTGAATATCTTAGTTGGTCAAGCTTTTAAGTGTTCTTTTAAGTGTTATATATATAATATAGGCTTCATTATTTGCTGTAACCTGACATTTGTATTTCAAGTTGGATATTTCATATACATGGATGTGTTGGGTTTTTTTTAAGGGAATCAGAATGTTGAAGTCATAAGAAATAAATGACATGCACAATGGTTATTTCATTAAAAGGGAGATAATTAAAAAAAAATACAATCTGTCCTTAAAAAGAGCATGTAAAAGAAATTATTATTAAGTATTAATGTTAAAGATAAGTGAATACATGAACAATATTTTAGATACCTATAGTTATTAAAAAACTTACTGTAACTTGGTTTTTTTTCCCTCAAGTAAAATTATTCTATGTGCCGTTTTTCAGGTGATTAAAAACTTCTATTACCTCCCTTTAAAAACAAAGTGAAACTCTTGGTTTTATTATTGGTATTTTATTACAGTTATGCTTTATAGCCAGACTGTGTTATATTTCAAAGAAAAAAAACATGATTTATACATATATTTTATATGTTTATAAAACATGATGAATTCATTGTTAAAGGTTAGCATGACAATGTATGAATAAAATATGCCGAGGGTGATAGTACAAAATGGGTTTAACTAGACTGATTTAAAGAACGAGTTACGTCATTGTTGCGATCAAATGCCTGATGTTTACAAATTCATCCTAGTATTATGTTTCCAACTGCTACTGAAAGGTGACATGAAGGTTTGAAAGTTAAAGTGTTCTGAAAGTTGAATCGAGTTAAGTCTGTATTGTACTGAAACCAGTGAGAGATATTTGTGGTTAGAGATGGGTTGCATGTGGGTTATGCAAACTGATAATGACATCTTGATTTTATTTAACATTTTTGTTAGGTACTTGGGTACTTTTAAGAGCAAATTAATTTCCAAGAATGTCTCAAATATTTATTGAATAGGACAATTTATGATAGTCAAACTGGCATAGGGTTAGGGTTATATATGTTTGTAAGAATTTCATATATGTGTTTGTTATAGTGTCACATATCTGTATTGATATTTGTCTGTTACAGTGTCACATATCTGTATTAATATTTGTCTGTTACGGTGTCACATATTTGTATTAATATTTGTCTGTTACAGTGTCACATATCTGTATTAATATTTGTCTGTTACAGTGTCACATATCTGTATTAATATTTGTCTGTTACAGTGTCACATATCTGTATTAATATTTGTCTGTTACAGTGTCACATATCTGTATTAATATTTGTCTGTTACAGTGTCACATATCTGTATTAATATTTGTCTCTTACAGTGTCACATATCTGTATTAATATTTGTCTGTTACAGGTGTCACATATCTGTATTAATATTTGTCTGTTACGGTGTCACATATCTGTATTAATATTTGTCTGTTACAGTGTCACATATCTGTATTAATATTTGTCTGTTACAGTGTCACATATCTGTATTAATATTTGTCTGTTACGTGTCACATATCTGTATTAATATTTGTCTCTTACAGTGTCACATATCTGTATTAATATTTGTCTGTTACAGTGTCACATATCTGTATTAATATTTGTCTGTTACAGTGTCACATATCTGTATTAATATTTGTCTCTTACAGTGTCACATATCTGTATTAATATTTGTCTCTTACAGTGTCACATATCTGTATTAATATTTGTCTGTTACAGTGTCACATATCTGTATTAATATTTGTCTGTCACAGTGTCACATATCTGTATTAATATTTGTCTGTTACAGTGTCACATATCTGTATTAATATTTGTCTGTTACAGTGTCACATATCTGTATTAATATTTGTCTGTTACAGTGTCACATATCTGTATTAATATTTGTCTGTCATAGTATCACATATATGTATTAATATTTGCCTGTCACAGTGTCACATATCTGTATTAATATTTGTTTGTTACAGTGTCACATATCTGTATTAATATTTGTTTGTTACAGTGTCACATATCTGTATTAATATTTGTCTGTTACAGTGTCACATATCTGTATTAATATTTGTCTGTTACAGTGTCACATATCTGTATTAATATTTGTCTGTTACAGTGTCACATATCTGTATTATATTTTGTCTGTTACAGTGTCACATATCTGTATTAATATTTGTTTGTTACATAGTGTCACATATCTGTATTAATATTTGTCTGTCACAGTGTCACATATCTGTATTAATATTTGTTTGTTACAGTGTCACATATCTGTATTAATATTTGTTTGTTACATTGTCACATATCTGTATTGATATTTGTCTGTTACAGTGTCACATATCTGTATTAATATTTGTTTGTTACAGTGTCACATATCTGTATTAATATTTGTTTGTTACAGTGTCACATATCTGTATTAATATTTGTCTGTTACAGTGTCACATATCTGTATTAATATTTGTCTGTTACAGTGTCACATATCTGTATTAATATTTGTATGTTACAGTGGCATCACTACAATACATTAAAATTTTAACAAATTCCAGGAACAGCCTCTCATGAACTTGTATCCACTATAAATACGCGCTTATTAAGTTGGTTGTTTGTCTACTCTTATACGTGCTGAGCATTTATTCTGGGTAAAAAGGTTACATATGTTATATTGTCACATATCTGTATTGATATTTGTTTGTTACAGTGTCACATATCTGTATTAATATTTGTTTGTTACATTGTCACATATCTGTATTGATATTTGTCTGTTACAGTGCCACATATCTGTATTAATATTTGTCTGTTACATATGTTACAGTGTCACATATCTGTATTGATATTTGTTTGTTACATTGTCACATATCTGTATTAATATTTGTTTGTTACATTGTCACATATCTGTATTAATTTTTGTCTGTTACTATTATAAACTTGTATGCACCTTATTAAAGTACAGTGGCTTTATTAAGTATTTTTTTCTCCGTCTTATACATGACTGATGCATTTTTTATTCTGGGTAAAAAAGGGGATAGTTATTTTTTTCAGAAGATGACACAATAGCAGTTAAATAACAATGAAATTGACATTATGCCTGGTAACTTTGAAATGGTAATAAAAATGGTATAAAATACTGTCAATAAAGGATGCTATATAGATAATATAAGTGTTGTTTTTTGTGTCGTTTCAGGGACCAAGGTTACAGAAGACATAATGGTGTAGATGATATAGGTAAGATTTATATTTTGTGAAATTTTACTTTTTAGTCAAAAATACAGATTTTGTTTGCATGAAATCATTTATGAAGGTCGGAAAAATGCCTTTTCACAGCTGACAGAATTTTTAAGTACATTGTGTAATTCCAATATTACGTTTGAATCTTAAAAAAATCCCCAAAACCAGGTCAGCTCGACTCAAAGATTTGCCTTACATGTTCAGTAGTGTTTTTATTTTTTTTTGCAATTTAAGCCAGGCTTTATTGTGAAATTTATCCGCAACTTTTTATGAGCATAATATTGCTTTATGACATACATGTAAATTAGATTTAGATAAGAAAGATATCACAGTTTTATAATATGGTGTATTTTGTAGGAAAAATGTAAAAAATTGCTAAGTCGAAGTAGTGGCTTTGTTGATTGTGATAAGCCCCAATTGACTTTTAGAGTGGTAATGGCAACCATTCTGGAGTATTAGATCCTTGGAAGCAATGAAAAATATAAAAAGTGAACAATACAGTCTGTTTATGAAAGATAGTAAATAGTGTTAGATCTAGTGCCCACCTAAGCACTTGCTTTAGCAGTATTCAGTCTTCAACACTTAAGGACTGGAAAAAAGCATCATGGAACTGAAGTATGGTGACTAATAATAAGCCAGACTAGTCTGAAAATTTGTACGGTCCTGCCTATATACCTAGGCTCTGCAATGATAGAATTTTGAAATCGATATCCCTCACTTCAACAGTGGACTGGTCCAAGTTCATAGCAAGACAAGTCCATTATAAAAATTAAGGAAAGTAAGTGTAAAAACAAAACCGATACATAGGTTATTGATATCCCACACATAAACAATGGACTGTTTCAAGTTCATAGCAATGGACAAGTCCATTAAAGAAATTAAGGCAAGATAGTGTACTTGCATAATTATACTATATAAAAAAAAACAAGACAGATAATTACCACAAATTTAATAAACCTACACTGAAAGTCAAGACAAATTTCCACAAAAATTATTCCATGAATGCATTTTATATCTGAATATCAGTAAACAACCTGATCTTTACAAATTTTGCTAGAAATACAAGTCACGCCTTATGATTTTGAATTAAAATTTATTTTCCCACACTTATGAATTTGTAGAAATTATAATTTTATTTCAATTTTGCATTGAGATCCTTTAATTCCCATTACATAATGTGACAAATGGCCCACAGAGTTACATGATATGGTAATTCCATGCTGTGTTCAATAATGTTAAAGTGACATAAAGTGACATAATAATATTCCCATCAAAGGGTTTTATAGTGAGTGAATAGGTGAAGGTCAAAATAAGATTACATTAATCACATGAACAATAAATAACTCACATAGCCGAAGGTAATTTCTGTAAATATCCATTAGAAATATACTTACTCCGGAATTAAGAATATTTGTTTTTTCCCCAGCTAATCCGTAGGTTCAAACAAACTTTTACTGAGTTACAGCTTCGAAAATAAGCAGGTTGACTAATCTATTGTGACAAATAGAGCACCGTAAAGCTATATCGATAAAAGTTTGAATGTACCTACGGATAAGCTGGGAAAAACCAAAATTTTCTGAGTTCCGGATAACATATATTTACATGTGACTTTCGATTTATAAATAGAGTAGGGCAGTCTTTTTATATTTTAGGCAGGTTTATATATTTTATTTTAAATATTTTCCAATATCAACTGTTGGTCAATCACTATTATACTTACAGCCATTATCTTTATAGAAAATAGATCATCAATTCAGCTTAACTTTACAACATGTACAATGAAAAAATTAGCATTATGTCACTTTAATAAAATATCCAATGACTTTACAAAATTCCCTTACTTTATATCCATTAGATCTAACTTATTAAAATACATAGCTGTTGAGGTCTGGAAATGCTATTTATTTATTAATTTATAGAAAAAAAGTTAAAATTTTATTTACTATCCTAGGTGAAGAATGGGGATGAATTATGTAATATGTTTATATATGTTTATATTTACAGAACAGAACAGTTTTGATATGGGAATGCAGGACAGTAGCGGCCCAATGTTTGAGGTTGACCATTTAGCTACATACACAAGTAAATCAGGTAAATAAATAAATATATCCACTTTTTATACAAAAAATTGGTTATGGGCTCTTTTGTACATTGGCAAAAAGTTTTATATGCAGTGTCGAAATTTGGTTAAAGTTACTGACCAATCGACTAAGGGATGAGAAATTATTCATCCACGGATGTTGAATTATTATACCACCACATGCAAAATTTTTTTGGCGTAATATAGAAGTGAACTGTCAATCCGTCATTTTAATGGTTCCAGACAATACTCACAGTAGAATGATCAACTTGGTAAAAAGGAATGCTTATGGAGACAAGTTTGGGATCCTTTTGAACTTCGCTATAGTTCAAACATAATGCTGTCTGAGGCAAATTACTCTACCAGTAAAGTTAGAAAAATAATTTGACTGCCAAAAAGCACTTATATAACTTATAACCTAAGATATTAATCTACATGCATTGAATTTGAATTTAAAATTCTGTGTTGAACAATATACTTGAAAAAAAACAACAACTGGCATTCTTTTGTTGATCTAGTGTTAATCATGCATTGCCCTAGTACATAACCTTCTATACAATATTCAGAGATAACCTGCCTTCTTAGACAACTGAAGAGGAGTATCGTTTATCAAATGAATGTCAAGGTTGCAAAAAAAAAAAATCTGAACAGTTTAAAATTTATAGTGTGTGTAAGGTTTTAAGACTGCCATATATCCTCCATTCCACGATATAAATGTTTTATGTACAAACCTTAGAAGTTTATAAGAAGTACTGATATAAAATACATAGGTCAAATGTGCAATCTGTCTTAACATTCTACTATATCTTTGCAAAATACAGGAATACTTAGAGACAACTCATTGCCAATAATATGTCTGAGATTGAGTTCCATGCACATATACAGTGTGGCCTGGAACAATCTGAAATTAGTTAGTTATTTTGATTTGAGCCGAGGTAAAGCATGAGAAATATTGCCATCGTCTTCAGACTCTGATTAAATCATTCCCCAGATAAATGTAAAATATAATATGATCATTAATTCGATCATTTTATCAAAACAAACAAGTGGACATTTTGGTCTGATTGCTTGAATTGCAAGGAATAAAATACTCAAGCTGACCTTTACCTCATTTTGACCTTGACTTGAGATTGACCTTGCCCTGAGTTTGACCTTAACCTTTGACCTTTAACTTTTTACAGGTACTACTCATCCTGAAGATGGCCTCACAAAACTTAAACAGATGGAAAGTTCCACAGGAATTTGGACAATGCGATGTATGCTTGTCGTGGAACGAAGAAATATTGTTGTCATTGACAAAGGAAATGGGGTATGTGCTTGTCTTCCAAGAATTATTTTTTGAATATTTTAAATTTGAACTTCATCCAAAGGAAAGCAAAAATAGTGCAAAAAGTAAAATTCGAATATAATTCCATGTAAAAGTGACAGTGATATTCACATGTGTAACTATTTTATACATTTCCCTGTATGGAACTGTGCTCTTATTAGGAAGAAAATGTGCGAGCAGCAAGCTCAATCAGTAAAACTACAGAATGCTATTCTGAGGTCACAGGTTTTTTGCACCCTGTGACATTTGGCACCAAATAGGGGACTGTGATGGTGTAAAGCTTCTTTTTGCTGTTCTCATTAGAAGTTTGATATCGAATTTCATATAGCAGGGGAGTTGGTTATGGCATTATGGCATAGAACTGTTCACTTATAGGGGAAGGAAAAAGTTTAAGTGGCCTTGAAACTCGGTCTAAAGAGCCGTGAAATGGTATTCCAAAGGTCAAATGTTAAGGGCAACTGCAAAATTCATATTCTGTTAGTAAACCTGGAAATATACAAACAAATTAGAAAAATGGACGATAGGGGTGCAATTACTTAAAGAAACTCCACTGAGGTCTGAAAGCCTAAAAACATAAATTTTGAATTTCTTACATAGATCAACTGGGGCATTTATTAACAGAAACATATGCAAAAGATAATTGGGAAATGTACTCAGAAATAAATTGAAAATCATACTTTTGTGCTATTCTTAGCCTGATTTTGAGTGAAAAGGGTTGGGTCAGTTTTCACAATTAGAATTATTATTCTGGAAAAACGGACAGAACGAATTATCTGAAACTTTGGACACAAGTTTTTCGTATAGAACTACATCAAACAGAACAATTATCTTGGAAAATTATCGCCAACCCCGTCATGTTAAAAAACCTTGGTGGAGCTTCTTTAAACATTAATCAAAAATGTAAAAGATTAAATATATATATATTTATATTTTTTTTTCAGGATGAGTTGGAGAGATTTCCGTTATCAGGTGTACACGAACCTACAGCCGTGTTAAAGAATGACAAGAGGGAAACATACAACAATTTGGTATTATTCACGATCATCGATGATCCGAGACGGAAAAACGGCCCGTCGGATATGCACATATTTCAGAGTGTCAATGCACCAGTAAGTTTTCTCCTTTATAACTGCAGGACCCGCCATATCTGATTTTGACTATCTTGTCAGTTTTTATCTGAAGCATTTATTAACTTGTCTATATGATATTTATATGGTAAATTCTTGAAATTTCCACTTGTTGGTGCAGGCAATGGGTCAACCTGGGCAATACAGACAATTGATTTTGCCACCCCTGAATAACAGTTTGATACAGTTTTTATGTTGTGCGTAAATGTTTTAAAGCTGCATGCCTCCAGATTCATGCTAATTTTCATGAAAATTTTAAAAATGTATTTAATAGTATATAATGTTGTGAAGTGAACAAAGAAAATAATTTACAATTTGCAAACTGTACTTGCAATCAACGTAAATTACCAAAAAGAAGTCAAAATATACAAAAAAAAATAGCCCTTACTATGTTAGTCAGGCAGTAGAAATATGGTGATAAATACTGCAAAATCAGTCCTTAATTGCATATAACATGTAAATTATTACTTGAATTTTCTTTTCTTTGTACATTTTACTCAAGTTTAATTTTCTTGAAATATTTTGGCTCCTCTGGAGGTATGCAGCTTTAAAAGTGGTTGTCTTTATTTTGAGTTGGTCCAATTAACCTCAATAAGGACTGACCAAATATAGATGGTGAAGCATGGTTTTTTCCTGTGACAATTTTATTGTAACACTATTTTACCTTGGATTCATTAATGTGGAGAAGTTGATAATAACTTGCAGGGAAATACAGAGAAACTAGGTAACTGTATATAATTCAAATAAATGCCCGGCAGTACAATTATATTATAATTTATTGTAAAAGCTGGCACAAAGCCCAAAAACAATATGAAAACAGTTGAATGTTTTCAAATTCCTTCTGTTTTCATTCCCTTTAACAACTTAACTTTCTAACTTTCCTAAAGTACATTAAATTTGTCATAAACTGAAAACATATACATTTTTCAAGGGTTTCTGATAAAGGCTATAAATTTCAGTTAAACATTGCAGGTTTCGTTACAAAATATCACCAGTGTATCATAATATCCAAGTTCATTCATACATATATAATTACATATTACTGTACCAAATATGTTTACAGATGAGTAACTTTGAAATATTTCGTAAACTTAAACTGTGACTATTAATAAAAAGATGTCCCGGCAACACTCATATTATTTTGTAAATTGATAGAGATGTATCAGTGTTACATTCCCATGAAATTTACACGGTTTTCTTTGAAATTGTGTTTTTAGTTTTCATTGAAATCATGCTTTTAGTTGACGTTTTTGCCTGCATATAAATATAGGTTACAGCAATGAAGAAAATAGAACTACCGAAATATCCAATTATCCAAATATCGTTCCTTAACCTTTGAGATTGTATAAAATGAATGTTTTTCTTAATAACGTGTCATCAATGATTAATCAACCTTGTTAATTATTATACCATCGTTGCCCTATATTTCATGGGAAGATAGAGTGCGACCTGTAGGCAAGATAAAAAACTAATGACATAAAAAATTACACCTGTAATGTAGTATAAAAATGAGAAAAATATTTTTATCATTCTAAATATGTTTAAGGGTTGGTAAGCGAACAGCATGGATCCTGATCAGTCTGCGTGGATGCGCAGGCTGGTCTGGATCCATGCTGGTTGCAAACGCATTATGTTGGTTTTGTAGTGACACAGCTCAAATATGTTTTAAAGCTGCCGTATTTTGTGTCTGATATCCAGGAGCATTAGGTTGCCAGTATGACTGTCCATGCTCACTAATTGATACTTAATTGGCTATAGAAACAATAAGTTACAGTTAATACTTGATTATTTTCATTTTTTGTCTCTTATGACCTGGAAAATTATTTTTTGTGGCTAAATGAAGAATGAGAGGAACAATAATGTAGCCCTCTGATTATATATATAATTTGATGTTTTTAAGGATAAATGATAGATGTAATGTAGTTATTGGTAATTTTCAATTTTATTATGTTGTACAGAGTTATTTCCCTTTGTTTTGAATATTGATGACAAGCCCTTTGTATTATTTCTTTTATTTGTATGTATGAAATTCTGTGATTGTCACTATTTGAAGACAGTGATGCAAGTTTTCATGATTTCCTTTCATTTGTGTAGAAGAGGGTAAATAATAAAAAAAAATTTATGTATAACATTTTGACTTATTTATTTCAGGCACAAGATATAGTTGATGAAATTTTACATGCCAAAGGTGAAGGTGGTGGCAGACGTGCACCTTATGAGTGAGTAACTTACCTTTTTTACTTTGTTTATTTTTCACTCTCAAAATTTGTTTGGTTGAATTGAAGTGACACAACTCTATAAAGATCTGGAAATGGCCTTTAGGTGACCTTTTGTGCCTGAAATAATGTACAGAGGAGCACCAGATGTCTTCCTTCACCAGTAAAACTAGGAAGTCGCCATATAACCTATTCTGTGTTGGTGTGACATGAAACCCAACAAAAAAAGAATCTGTAAAAGGGCAGAACTCTCAAGAATATTTAAAAAAGGGTGAAAATGGCAGACTATTTTTGAGTCTGTTCATGAGAGATTATGAATAGTGCAACATCTTTCATGCCCATTTTTGCACCAGCATATATACAGTGACATAGAAGGTTTCATTTAATGTTTAAATCCTTAGTTTGAGTTTAAGCCACAAAGAAAAAAAAATGAACAAAAATGCATACAAAAGTTATAAAATATGACTTTTACAATTTCAAACCAATCAACAATTTTATGCTGATCATTTTAATTGACATTATTTATTTTTGCAGTCTTGCACAAGCTTAAAGCCATAAGTTACCTATATATAAATATTTGGCAATCACAAGCTATTACTTTTACAAATTTGAAATGTTTGCTTCATACCACATATTTGATTTCTTACTCATTCATACACCTGATGCTCAGTTAATACTTTATGACCGCAATTGATGGCAAACAATTTAGGCTATTGTTATTTCTTTTTCATTTCAGCCGACACATTCCGCCCCCTCCAAGTGGACCTGCGCCGGAACCTCCTTATGGCAAGTCTCTAAACATACGCGAGACAAATAGATACGTTGATCCCTATAACGATGTGCCTCCGATCGAGTCGCGTCTCCAAGAAAAGAGGATGGGCGAATCCACCAAACTCTTGGAGACGGGCAGATTTAATGATGGTTTGTACACATAGAGAGAAAAATATAGATGGTCTTTGAAAGTGTCTCTTTCATTATTTGTTATGAGATAGGACTAAAAATAGATTTTCAGCGCGAAAATATTTTTTGAAAATATTTATACATCTTAAATACAATCGCATTGAAAGAGACAACTTAGATCGTACTGCTTTTGACATATAAGCTTTGGCTTTCTTTTCATCTTTGAGCATAACATAATTTAGGCTTCTTTTTTTCTCGAATTTATTAAACAATTCTAATAAATATAACATGTGTGAATTCTTCTCCATATTTTGTTTTCTCCAAAAGAAAAAAACAACAACAAAATAACCAACAAAATTGAAACAGAAAAAATAATACAATTTTCAAAATTTTACAATGGAAAACAATATGTTAATGATAATGTACATTAAAAGTTAGTTCTTACAGGAATGATGACCTCTATAAATGGTACAAACCAAAATTATTATTGACAAACACTTATCAACAAAGAATTCTGAAAAAAAAAAGTTCCAAACAAAAGTTTATATCATAAAGAAAGTAAACCTAATTAAATAATCAAACAAATGCATGAATGATGTTTACTTTGATACCATTTGAAACAGAAGTGATCATGCCTTTGCCATCAGATAAAGAGCCAGGCTACTGACCAGGCTCTACTCTGTCGGTTGTTCAATTTTTGTATTTTAAAGAAACTCCACTGAGGTCCAAAAGCCTAAAGACATAAAATTTGAATTTCTTACTTAGATCAGCGAGGGCGCTTAAAACAGAACGATATATAAAAGATAATTAAAATTTATACTAAAAATGGTTTGAAAATCATATTGTTGGGCTGTTCTAAGCATGCTTTGAGTGAAAAGTTTTTCAATGCTATTCAAATTCATGTAATTTTTCATAATAAGAAAACATGACATGAGTGAGCAAATGACCTGAAATTCTGCACACAAGCTATTGTTCTAGACATACATCAAATGGAACAAAATTCAAAAAAAAATATTTTCAGTCCTGTCATGTCCAAAAACCTCAGTGGAATCTAATTCAAAGCAGAGCTTGTCCATTACACAAATTCAACAGGGTAAAGGCTAGACACACAAAACAAGATCTTTGTAGACCTTTCTCAGTCAGTGCTGGATAGTATGATTTTAGTTTGAAAAAAAAAATAAAATAAAAAAAAAGTATATATACAAAAATTTGTGTGGAACATTTTGGAGAATCTTTGTTGATAAGTGGTATATTTAACCAGAAACCATATTTTTAAAACACCCCAGTTTTATCCCCTACCTATTTAATTCAATTGTTTACAGATTTAAAATTCATTTCTTTCTTATTGGATTTGAGATAAAACAAGATACAATAAACAACAACAACAGAAATTTAACAGGATTCTAATTGATGCTTCCTAAGAAATTTGATTTTCTTTTGATAAAATATGACTGTTTTATGGCACAAAAAGAACTGATTAATTTTGGAACGTAAAAAACATTTGGATATAAGGAGACAAATTTTACATTGTGCGATGCAGAAATGTAAGTTAGCAAAAAATGAAATGTACTTTTGAGCATTTCACATTTTCCTAAAGATTAAACCAGCTGCTAGCAAGAATACAGGCATGATGGATAAATGTTTTATGTAATTTTCATGTAATATTCTCTATATTACTTTAGATAAAAAAAGAAAGAAATGAGTTTAAATCAGTGTGATTCATTTTATATTTTATGTCATTTACCTATTCACCATAAAAATCCATGTTCAGATACAGTATGTTTTTTCGCATTACCCTTAAATGACCACAAAGATAATTAATTTTAAAAAAGATACTTTAAACATATTTATCAAGGCTTACAAAATTGTGAGCCAAGTTCTTGTAACTTGTTTGAGGCAACACACGAGTGTTCCTCAAAGAACGAACCAGTTCTTGTGTCATTTTAGGCAACACACATTTGAGTGTCTGCTTCTAGGAATGAACCAATTCCGGTGTTGTAATGAGGTAACACAGTTTCAACCGGACTCAGATCCATTATCCCTAGGTTGAGAGGCCGACACCGTTGCCATATGGCGATCTCTTTCGTTAAAAAGGACATTTTTAGAATTTAGGTGCCCATTGCTCCTAATGCTCAATTGGTCTTCAACTTTTCAAGTAACCAAGGAAACGGTTTATGTTTCCTTGACAATCTGACAAAACAAACAAATGATATAAATGTATGAATTTATTAACATTGTGTATTGTGCATGGATATTTATGGTTCTTTTTTCTTTGTCAGATATTTGTTTTCTTTTGTCACTCAGCACTTCACACTGCTTTCGCTTTTTACGTTCAGCACTTAATTTCACTTCGCACTTCACACCATATTGTTTTATGTAATGTTTTCGTCTTTTACTTAATTTTTGTCTTTTTTTTTTCTGAAAGTTTTTATACTAAAATTAAAACTAAAATAGTGAGGAAAGCAGGGTCAATGGTTTTCACTCCACATTTCTTTTGTCACTTAAAGTGAAAATGAAATATGCAGTTTATTATTTTAGGGGTCTATTTTGTGTTAAGATTTACAGCTTTTGCTGAAGGTTACTTGTCAAAGATTAAAAGGGAAGTCATTACTCGCCTTAATTGTAGAATCTCTCCTAAAAATCTTCACATTTTAAAGGTATATTTAATTAATGTTACTGTATGTAAGTTGTTTTACATTTCCTCAAAAAGCGAGCCGATGGATTCATGAATATTATGCAACTGGTGGTAAACCAAGAGACCGAACACCATCCCCAACCCGGGACTCATGGCGAGATGTCCAGACAATTGGCTATGCAGGATTTCCAGACTTAGGGAATAATTACTCCCACAGACAAGCCTTCCGGTTAGAAAGTAATCAATATGTGAAACCCAATTCCATGGCAGGGACGCCATTTGGAACCTGGAGCGGGAAAAATTTCGATCCGGATGGAAAAACAGCACGTAAGAACAAGAAAGGGAAGAAATGGTTCACTTTCAGTTCGAATAAAAACAGCGTAAAGAAGTCTAAAGGAGGTAAAGAAAATGCTGGATACGAATACAGTAGCTCCACCTTGCCTTTAATGAGGTCTGTTTCAAATGGGAACATTTACGCGGGCTCTTCAAACTCCTTGAGACGTTCCATGAAGAACAGTATGGAGGCGGGGTTAACAACAAATATGTTGACCAATGGGCAAGAAGGATTTGATATGGTTGATACAGGTATAACTATGACTATGCTGCCAATTTGCAAACCCATCCATAAAAGCGAGGAATGTGGAATGAATCCAGATATAACTACATATTCTACAAGCATGGGAAAACTTGGATGACAGTTTGAAATATATATATATATGCATTATATATCTGTAGGAATGGCAAACAAACTAAATTTAATAAAATCAAAAAGATAAAAAAAATACAGATATGCATCATGGGGAAGTGTAGTATTGGCCAAGATTGAGGTGTACACAAATATTGTGTGGAAATAACTGAATAATACTAGAGGAATTGGCCAAGAATATGAATTACCATTAACATCAAAATTAGTGACAAGTCAATACTATTATAATCATAATAACTAAATAAATACCAAACAAAATTAATGTTTATAACTTTGCATGATCCCTGTATGTACTTATACATGTATTTTATAAATAAAACGGCATGAAATTTCATAAAGTAACTTTAAAAATGCATGAATGTTAAGTTGATCTTACCACAAACAATACCACTAAATTTTTAGGTTTTTGAAGCTAGGAATGATTTTATTTCACAAGTTGAATTGAAGTTGTTTTGAACATTTTTACATGTCTGTGAAACATCCTTAGTGACTCTATAAAAAACTATTAAGGATATAAAAACCAGCAACCACACAATGTGCTGTATATGGTAGTAATTTGAGCCGCGTCATGACAAAACCAACATAATGGGTTTGAGACCAGCATGGATCCGGACCAGCCTGCACATCCACGCAGTCTGATCAGGATCCATGCTGTTCGCTATCAGTTTCTCTACTTGTTAAGGGTTTGTAAGCGAACAATCATGGATCCTGATAAGACTGCGTGGATGTGCAGGCTGGTCTGGATCCATGCTGGTCGCAAACCCATTATGTTGGTTTTGTCATGACGCGGCTAATCTATGAATTATAGTCACATGTTGATGTATGGCATGACAGATTGGGATGCTGCTACTCTTATGTCATTGTGTCAGATTTGACTAATTGTTACTATTTATAGAAATTTGCAATTTAAGAAGAAAAAAAGAGAAACACTAATTGTTAGATAATTTTATGTATTCCATTTTATTTTGGCTATCTATCTACTGCAAAACATTTTTTTTTAAATTTACAGTATTTATTCGTGTGTAAGACATGATCCCCTATAAGTCAGTGCCTCTTTTTTGCACTTGCATCATCAGTTTTGCTTGACCCTCTTATAAGGCGGGATGAATTTCTTTTTAAAAGTAAATATATAATTAAGGCGGGCTGAATTTTTCTTTTAATGAACTACTGCTAATTGTTTTCTGTGAAAGAAATTATAAAATATATAATTTGATATTATTTTTTAGCAGTTTTTGCTTTTTATTTTAAATTTCTGAAATAGAAGTTAGTTTCCGAAGAAATATTAAAATGTTATTTTTGTGTGAAGAATATAAAATGTGTTGTGTCTGAAGTTGCCAACATTTTAATGGAGAGTTAAGTAAAAGCATTTTATTTGAAAATATTGATACATTAAAAAGGGGGGGCGTGTGTCTGAAGCTTTCAGATTTTTAGTTTGTGCTGTTGATTTAACGAGCTTTTAATTGATGTGAAGTTTTGTCTGCTTTTGTCCATGTTTCCATTTTGCATTAGGTCATTTCTTTCCTGACCTGCCTCTTTTTAATCACATATCTTTCTGCTTTTGAATTGTAAACATATTTTACCATTAAACTAAATGTGACAAGCACCGTAATTCATCCAAAAAAAGTCACTCCTTTACATCATTCTTGACACTTTTAAGATTGGACTATTTTTTTAACAGCAGATTATATAAAACTGTTGTTGAATTATTTAGTAATATGCATTATAAAACTGGTTTCCAGAAATAATTTTGAGCGGGACATTTGATTAAAAAAAAAGACAAACTTAAAACAGTACAGGACCAACAAAACCAAACATGTGAACAGAAGACCAATATTCCTTCCTGTTTTAATAAAGTGAGGGATGTTGATCAGTTTTTATAACTATGTTGATGTTGACTTGAAACATATGCAGTAAATTTACAATATAAATTTTTGTGAATGAGTGGCCATTTTTGGGTTGAATACGGTACTTTTTTAATTTCCCGAGCCCTGATAAAACATTACATGTGTCTATATAACAAAGATGTAATCTTGTGTTATTTATCATTTACTCTATCTTAGTATTGTCTTGATATAATTTCTATTTACTTTCATTTATCTTCACTTACTTGGGCGTTGTATATACAGTTAATTAACCACTTATATGGTGAATTGAAAAACTTTATGTAATTGGATTATTTCATTTACAGGAGATTTGGTGATAAAAGATATCTAAATTTTTAATTTCTTATTATTTTACAGCACTTTTAAGGTTAAATGATGTTAAAAGTAAGATAGAATTTGACAATGAGCAATTTACATACATTTAGACATATTTCTAATTGTGTGATGTTTATAATGTTATTAAAAAAATGATTTCAGTGCAAAACTATTTAGTATTAAATTTGATGAATTGCATTTTAATTGGTATTTAATTACTGTTAAATTCAGTGCAAAAAAAAAATTACTTTTAAATTCAGTGCAAAAAAAATGTGCACAAAAAGTTATGAATATGTATAAAGAAGAAATTTAAATATACATGTATTTATGTTTTGTGTGGAATTAAAACTATTAAACCAGGATGCATTTTATGATGATGAATATTATATTCAAAAAATTGTTTTACAACAATAGAAATTTTATTAGTTTATAACAAAGAATTAAAATTTTGAGTTTGATTTGAAAATGTGTCTGATTTTGAATGGATGAATTAAGTTTGAAGACTTGATGTCATTAATGTATTTTAACATATCATTGAATGGGACATGGATAATGTAATATAAGGACTCAGTCAGGAGTGGCAAAATCAATTGTCCGTATTGTCCCACAGCCTGTATTGAGAAGTGAATTTTTATCAGAATTTACTTTATAAATATCATATGGACAAGTAAAGAAATGCATTTTTAAAGTTAAGACAAGTAAGTCAGAATCAGATTTTACCAGCCCTGACTATCAAATGTTATTAGACACAGTATATCAGATCTATGGTACTGTTAAAGAGCCTGGCCAGCTCTGTCAGTTCTGACAGGGCCACATTATATGTTATAATCTTAGTTGTAACAGAAATAGAAAAATAAGTTATTTTTAGTATCAGAGGGATCATTTATTAATCTGGACAATTTTATTTTTGCTCACAGGTAGGGGATACGGGCAGTCACGTGGTGACTTCAGGGCCTCATATATTCACAGGGAGGATATGGACACTGGACAAAACGAGGCCCTAGAAAGGGATGTGGTTAGTATTATGAAATTATTTTATTGCAAATAAGTGTCGTCTTTTCTCATTAATGACAATTGTTTGTTAGTCATTCTGCCAGCTAAAATGTATACAAGTTTATGTTCACAAATGTTTTGATTTACTTGATTATTTTAAGTAGAGGTGTTAAGTTTTGAGGCCAAGATTGCCCCTATTCCAACCCCCCATCCCCTACCCCCTCCACCCCCTCACTGCTGGAGAATTAGAAGACTGCAAACACCTATGTTTTGATAATAACCATTGTTAAAAAGATAAAATCTTTAACAAATAGTAATAAAGAAATCTGATGGGGATTCTAAAGTTGTTTTCCGTTTATTGTTTTTACATACAAAAAATATGAATAAAATAGATAGCATCTCTCTGCCTATATTGATAATGCTGTTTTAGGTGTCACAGCTTGTTGATATATCTGATTAAATGATTATATTTTTTTCATGTTAATGATACAAATAGAACAGCCTTGCTTGTGTTATCAATATTTTGTAAATTCAGTATTTATGGAGGTCTGCAGAAGCATTTTCGGCTTAAACCATCTAAACAATATAAAGACTTGGAACCAGTGTGGAAATGAAATTTTCCTATTGGTCAATTTTAAAACTGTAATTTGAATGAACCAATCAAATGCTAGTATTCTGGACTGGGCTCCTGTATGAAATTTTATTGATTCGCATGCTTTATTAAGTTAAAGCACAACATTATACTAATAACAGAAATATTTGTGGTAAAATATTATACCATATCATCTATTAGAAAGCTATTGTCATTTGATTTGTATCACTTTAATGAGATGAGAAGAGCACCTGTTTGAGCATTGTCTTCCTTAATTGATTTTTGTGTTGTGGCTAATTGTAGTATTTATGTAAAAGCTGTTACCACATGACAGTTTGTGTCAGTTGTACTAACCTGAACATTGAAAATGTTACGCATTTATGGCAATCCGCAGTTTCGTTTTTACTTAGTTATTGCTTAAAGCAAGTTTAACATAATTTAGTTACGGCATCCAATTGTTAAATTTTACTCACTTATGGCTTCTTTCAGTGAAACGTTTACTTAGTAAATTTTTCACATGGAGGTTGACAGTATTGAACTAAATGATGATAAAAATTTATACAGAAAAGTGCAAGCAGGACTGGTGTACATTAACATTTTTGAGGAAGCTATCCAGCTAGCTCACGGAACGTCGGTGGTTCTACTCAGGTGCCCGTTCGTGCCTGAAATAATGCACGGAAGGGCACCTGAGGTCTTCCTCCACCAGTAAAGCTGGAACGTCGCGATATGACCTATACTGTGTCGATGTGACGTAAAACCCAAAACAAACAAACAAACATTAACATTTTAGAAGGAAGCTTGCATTATCAGATAAAATCACGCACCGTTGTTGCAAGTTATCTAATATATGTGACTGAGCATCCAAGTAATTTCATTATCAAAACATAACTGCCAAATGTCACATCGTACTTTCATATGAAACGCAAGTTGAAACCAGTTTCTTTTAATGTAAAGCAAATAACGAAATGCAGAATTACCAAATCAGACGCATACTTTTATGCAAAAATTTCACTGTAATAACATCTGCAGAAGTCCTCTAACTTATCAAATGCCTCATACTGTGGGCTCAGGCTTTTAATGTGCCAGTCTGCATGCTCCTGCAGATTTAACAAAAAAAGTGTGTTAACCATTAATTGTTACAATACGTGTATCTAAGGTTAGACTTATCAAGATTATTTAGTTTTATCATGAAATGGTATTTAAAGATTTACGCTGACATAACGTCTGAAGTAAGTCAAATAAAACTTTCTACACAGGTGTGACGTTAATCTACATATAGATATAGAAGTCAGTTTGGATTGTAGATTATTTTGTCACAAATCACTTTTCGTTCTTTGGTCAAAATTGTCAGACAAAAGACAAGTTTGTAGGTCTATAATTAACTAAGCACAATTACAGTAATTGTACATGTATTACTTAATGTGTTGAACCAAGACATTATTTAATTTGTACATGTATAAAACTAAATTTACAGAAATAAGGGCTAAAATGACTATATTTTTAAAGTATGTTTCATTTTTGTGCATACATTATTGACTATTAAATTTTTATCATTTTTGTCAACAAGGCCCCTTGCAGTGAGCTTATTTAACACAGTTGTCAGTTTTGGTTCATTAAATGTAAGTCATCAAAGCTTGTGCTGAAAAAAAACTTCATACCTCATTAAATTAATGGTGTTGAAATAATTTAAAAAATCATATAATAGGCAGTGTGCCATTTGTATAGGTTAAGGTCAAAATCTAATTTATTAAATAGGATTGGACAGCTTTAATGGTAGAAATCATGTAAAATGACTTTGCCCTTTTTTTTGGGCCAAATTTTTCCCTTAAATTTTTCAAAATAGTATTCATGAAAGTGGCCCAGATTAATGTGGTGTCCATTTCTTAAAATATTATAGGTAGAATTTCCCCCCCAATTGCAAAATAAATTATGTTGATTTAAAATCATTTTGGAACAATTGGAAATTTTTAAAATATGAAAAAAAACAATAGTGAAAATTTCTTTAGCCCACTAAAATTTTAAAGTGAAATATTTTTAATTTTTGGGTTTTTGTTTTTCACAAATTGAAAAATTTTGTTTGAAATTGGGAAGTTTTTTTTTCCCAGTTAAAAAGGAGCAAATCATAAAGAGAATAAAGTTGGCTAAGAAGGAGGCGCAAAGAAAACAAAAAATTGGGGGTTGACACAAATTAAAAAGTGATTTTTGGTATACTTATTCAAATTTGTGTTGTTTTTTAGCATGGAAAATTTTTATATGAAATTTCATTAAAAAATAAGGTTTAAAGATTTTGAGGAAGAGGGGGCGGAAAGGAAAAAAAATCGCCGGAGGTTGAAAAAATTTTAATGATATTTTTACATGTATTGGGCAAAAAATTTCTGTGAAAAATGTGCTTTAGCATGGAAAATAAAGAATTTCAAAATTATTATTAATAAGGGTTAATAGGGAGTTAGGGTTGAAATTTGGGGGAAAGGAAACAAAATCTGCTAGGGGTTTGCCCTTTTGCTTCCATTTATTTTTTCGGGCCAATAAAAGAAAATTTAAGTTGCTTGAAGAAAAATTTTTTAAAGAAATTGTTTTAAAATAGTGATTATTATCGTTATTATAGTTTATTTCAAAATTAAAATTTTGGGGAAATTTCAGCGAAAATTGAATTTATTCATTTTATTTTTTCCTTCTCTAGGGGTTAAATTTTCTTTAACCCTTTCAATGTGAGAATCCCAAATTTTTTAGTCATCATTGAAGAATATTTTATTCTGGGGTTTGCAGATGGAATTTTAATTTTAATCAATGTATTACAGGGGGAATGTGAATATTTTACTAAGTGTATTACAGATGAAATGTTATTATCTTACTCCATATATTACAGATGGAATGTTATTATCTTAATCCATGTATTACAGATGGAATTTTATAATCTTTATCCATGTATTACAGATGGAATGTTATTATCTTAATCCATGTATTACAGATGGAATTTTATAATCTTTATCCATGTATTACAGATGGAATGTTATTATCTTAATCCCGTGTATTACAGATGTAATATTATAATGTTAATCAATGTATTACAGATGAAATATTATTATCTAAATCCATTTATTACAGATGGAATATTATTATCTTAATCCATATATTACAGATGGAATATTATTATCTTAATCCATATATTACAGATGGAATATTATTATCTTAATCCATATATTACAGATGGAATATTATTATCTTAATCCATGTATTACAGATGAAATATTATTATCTTAATACATATATTACAGATGAAATGTTATTATCTTACTCCATATATTACAGATGGACTGTCATCTTAATCCATGTATTACAGATGAAATGTTATTATTTTAATCTGTTTATTACAGATGGAATGTTAATGATGAGAGCACGACCACCACCAGCGGATGATTTTATAGATATCTTCCAGAAATTTAAATTTGCCTTCAATCTTCTGGTAAGTTATATTTAGAATAGTCAAATTTGCTTTTTAGCTTGATGAATCAAAGATTAATAGAGGCTTTTATATAGCAAGTATTTGTTCTGATGTAAAACTTCAGGTTTTCCTAGGAACTTCTTCTAGCATTTAAAACTGAGGGTATTCACTTGTTCTCAGGGCGAAATGTATTTTAAGTAACCTAGCTGTGAATAATTCAGTGATGGAAACTTTCTGGTAGATGTATATATATTTTTAACTGTCCATTGATTCTTTGTCATAGTGTGTGTAGATACTGAAATAACGACAATGTTTAAACAAGCTGATAGCATCATAGTAGTGCAGTGAGTTGACCTGTTACTGCACTAAGTCCATAAAGATAATGCAAAGCCATTGAACTTGCAAATAAATACCATGTTTAAGACAGTGTTATAGCAATTTTGAATTCTGGTCACTAATGGTGTTTGTTATACTAAACATTTGTAACGTTGCTTTTCGATGGATAGTCATGACTTTTATATAGTTTTATACACACAGCTGCTGTCAATATATGAAGAAATCTCAATTTTTTCTTAAAAATTTGTGATAAATATTTCTAGCAGCTCTGGTTATTTTTCCATTCTTTCAGGCAAAATTGAAGGCACACATTCATGACCCAAATGCACCGGAACTTGTTCACTTCCTGTTTACTCCATTAAGTCTGATCTACGAAGCTAGTCGTGACCCAATTCATGGGGGTCGTGACCTCAGTAGCGAAGCTGTCGCCCCTTTGTTGTTGTACGATGCCAAACAATTATTGCTGAACTGCCTAACATCAAAAGAGCTGGAATTGTGGCAGAGACTAGGTCGTCCATGGACATTAGTCAAGTAAGCTAACAATTTCTCATTGATTTTCATCGCTCCTCAAGATAAGTTTGACTTATAAGACATTTTATATGAAAATTGTACTGTAGCTGGATAATGTTAATAGATTCTGCCCCCTAACGTTAAGAGGGAAAGCATCGAATTTGTAGTCCAGGGTTTGCTGGATTGATCGCTGGGCATGGTGAAACCTCTCTTTGACAACTGATTTTGGACGTTAAGATTAATGGTTATTTGTGTCTCACTGCTGATTAATCGGTCACTTGCATGGAAATTACTGGTTAGTTATCCAGGAAAACTGGTAAGGTGAACCTACCACAAAGTTATAAGAATAATAAAAATGTGCGAAAAAAGACGTTACCACCAACCAAACAAATAATATTAAATTCACAGAGTAACGCTCTTAATTTAAAATTTTAATTTTAAAAATTGCCATAAAGGATGACTTCAACAGCAAGACTAGAAAGCCAATTTTAGAAAGAACATATACATGTAATATAAAAATAAACGGATACCTTTTACTTTCTGACAGAGATGAATGGTCTGGAAATGTGCCCTCGTATAACCCCCGGTTCTATAAGGTTGGAAACCCCATCACCAAGCTTTAAAGGGAACTTAAAAAAAGCATGCGAATTTAAATTAAAATTTTTTTTCATTTTTTTTAATACTTTTTGTCCACCCTTTCAGTCCCCTCAAAGTTTTGTTTTTGGGCGTCTGTCTGTTTTGTCACTAACTTTAAAACATTGGACCATTTAAAATGGACAAGAGTTCCAACATCAACCTCCATAAAGTCAAGGTTGTGAATACACCCGGATTAAAAATCAGCAAAATTGTTTGAGTTTAAAGTTCGGACCACAACCTAGAGGTCAGGGGTAAAGCTTTGGTGGGGTTATGCGCCCCCTCAAATGTTACGAAACCCCAATCTAGCCAAAAAGAGATTCTAAGTAAAAAGTACGATGACATATTTTATGTGCATGGCTGTCTTTGCATTTTCAATCACATAAGGGCCTCAAGCCCTTAGTACAGAGTAATGATAATTAAAACACAGTTATAAAGTTGTGTGTTTTGGCATTTCATTTAGTAAATTCTTATTGGCATACAAACATTTTTTTGAAAAGGAAGATAACAACAAAATTTTCAGTTTCTTGTCGCTTATATGATTTGATGTAATAATTATTTTTCGTGATATTGTTACAGGATAGAAATATACCCTACCCTGATCCTTTCCTTGCATCACGGCGGGAAGATCCGTATATACGGCAATCAGAGAAGCGCGCTGATCCGTACCGAAGGACAGAACGTCAGGAAGATCCTTACAGAATGACAGAAAGGCGTGATGACCCCTACAGGTCAACAGAAAGGCCTGAAGACCCTTACAGAATGACAGAAAGGCGAGAGGATCCCTACAGGTCAACAGAAAGACGTGAAGACCCGTACACTCGCGAAATAAGAAATGGTCGATCGGAGAGAAGGGACGATTACAACCGACCTCCATCACCGACTCCGGCCAGAAATTATGAAGCGTATGTCTTTATACTTTAATCATATAACATAATAATAGACTTGATACAGATTAGCTCATAGGAGAGCATGCTAGGTGAACAGATCTTAGTAAGCGTTTGTTCGAAACATGGACACTGCACATGTTTTTTTTGGGAAGTTTGAAGATTTTAGTGACTTAAATATATTCAATCCAGTGCTTTAGTCAATAAAACAAATCAGCAATAATTTATTTTGTATGTATCATAAGTAACTTTTAAATATCTGAGACAAGTGCTTTTGGTTTTTAACAGGGGGAGGGGGTGTCTTTCTTATTAATGTTTCGAAAAACAAAGGTTGAATAAGAAATAGACTAGTGTTAATACAAACTTGAAGATGAAAGGTACCATGTTTAACTTTCATCAAAGTTGGTGATCTTTTATATTCATTTGATTCTTATTTTCAGATCTTGAAATATTTCTTGTTAAAGAAATAATACCTTTTTTGTTTCCTTCGTCTCAGCTTTGCTTTTGAGACTATGATAACTTGTTTTTGCTCTGCTTGAATTTGTGATTGGTTTTTTGCCTATTTATTTTCCAAATAAAGTATACTTGTATGGTAAATATAAGTCTCTTTTTGTATTGGGCAAGATAATACACATCAATGGCAAGGAATTTTCATATTTAGTTGGTTGTTTTCAGAGATCAGTCTGATTTTTATTCAACATTTTGGTGAGTTTTAAAATATTGTTTGAAAAAAAAGTTTTAATTTGTTTCTACTATCACTGAAGTTGAATTTAGACTAGAATTGGTGAATTGAATGTTAACACTGCCTAAATGATAACAAGATTACTCTATTACTGTGAATCAACTTACTGTATTTAATCCAATTAACGCCCCTTAGAGAGGGTAGTTTATTAGGATGTGAAAAATCAATTTACTTTATGTTACCCCAATTAACGCCCCTTAAAAAGGAAAGGGGAAGTTTATTAAGCTTGGAAATTTTAAATTTGAATTCTCCCCCTTATTTAAATCCCTTGGGGAGGATTAAGTATATTTAAATACAAGTAGTTTTTAGAATTTCTCTTTAACATGGGTAAGTTTAAAATTTTGGAAAACCTTTTTCCATTTCACGATTAACAGCAATTTAACATTTTTTAATACTAGGTATTTCTTTGAACAAATTCTTTATTTCTTGAAACTACTTTTATTTATTTCTTGGACATTCATTTTTAGCTAATGTTTCGAAGGATAAGCTAAGCTTTGGTGATCACTGCATCATTGTCATTGTGCCAATATTTTAATTTAGTCCATTATTTAAACAATTTTAATATGTATCAACACAAAACTGGGAATACTTGGTTTTTATGATAAGGTGCAGTTGAAAGACAAGGGGCATTATTCTGAAAACTATATTTTTGGAGTGAGGTCCCTTTTTAACTATGATTGGTTATTGATAGTGTTGCCCTTAACAGATGAGCGTTAACACCACATGGCTGTGTTGTGTTGCTCTTATTTATTAGTCCCCTACCAGTTAAACTGGAGGGCCCAATACTATAATAATTGCTTGTTTTTCTTGGAACTAGTTTTTCATTCTCAAAGGCCCAGAACTATAACATAGATTTTGACAAAGTTTTGAGCCATTTTGAAAATTCTACATTCTCTAGACTCCTGTTTTTAAGCACTGAGAATAGTCTAGCATGCTGTCCTTCAACAATTCTTGATTATTTGCTAGTACTTACTATACGAAAAAATATTTTTCTGAATGTATATATGAGCCACGCCATGACAAAACCAACGTAGTGTGTTTGCGACCAGCATGGATCCATCCGCGCAGTCTGATCAAGATCCTTGCTGTTCGCTTACAATCCTTATAACAAGTAGAGAAACTGATAGGAAACAGCATGGATCCTGTTCAGACTGCACGGATGCGCAGGCTGGTCTGGATCCATGCTGGTCGCAAACGCATTATGTTGATTTTATCATGGCGCAGCACATACATATTTATTATATATGAAAGCTGATTCACAGTATAAGGATTAAGAAATGCTTCTGCTGTTTCTTTGTTGAGGTATTGCATCCATTAATAAACTGTAGACATTCTTACATACCTTTCATACACTATTTCATATACATATGTATGTAACGTCCATTTTCATTGGTCAATTGTGATACTTATTTAATCTATTTATGTCTGCTTCAAAATTACGATTTCTTTTTTACCTTGATGGAAAAAAGTAATAATGAAGTATATGTGAATTTGATATAAAAACTTTTTACAGTTTATATGACCATGTTGTATATGCTGTTATTTGCTATATAACCCTTACCAAGCAGCTCAGGTTATATAAGCATTCAGCAGATTTTTTCATTGCCATATATCCTATCAAAAGCTTTATTGATAATAAAATATGCAGACTTACAGTGTTAAGAAGTAAAAAAGCAGATTTTGTGTCACTTAACGAAAAAATGTTAAATACAGGCTGTTCTTGTTTTAGTGTCAATTGAATTACTTAGAAATTGTATTTATAAAGAGGGACCGAATTTTTATATATTTTCTCCTAGGCAGTAAAGAAACAAATACAATTTCTTATTTTGTAGTTTTTACAAAGTTATGAAGAAAAACAAAACTTTTTTTTGTCAGGAATTTTTATAAAATTACAAAAAGAGTTTTCATGTGTTGGAATTTTTACAGACTTAAATGGATGGGTTACCTCATGAAGATATTACTGAAATATTAAAACTTAGAAATAAAATAATACTTTTCCTTGATTTTTTTCAAATTTCTGATAACAATAAGTGGCAGAACTCAAAGATGTTGTAATGAAACCAAAGACAAAAAAGTCGCAAAAAGTTGCATGCTTATTGTGGTTCACTTATATAGATAATTTGTTGTTTTTTCCTCACCTTTAAATAGACGTTTTGATATATTTGACTTTGAAACAGTTTATAGTTTTCCTTTAATGCTTTCTGGTTCCAGTGATACTAACAAAAACTGTCAGAAATAGAAGACTTTATTGTTTTATTGCTTTTTTTTCCGCAGAGAGTAAATCAACTCAAAATTCAAGGTTGTTGTAACTGTGACCCAAATCCTTAGTTTAATAGTATCTTGTGAAAGAATTCTTCCCAACATCTTATCATAGTTTTTGTACTTAGCATTACTGATACATCTGTGCGTTTAAACTTCGCTGCAAGGAACTTGGGATTCTTTCATGTGTGGAAACTATCCTGAGCTCAACTTACGGAATATCTGTGGTTCTACTCCTTGCCTGTTTGTGCCTGAATCAATACATGGAGGTGTAACTGTAATCTGAGGTCTTCCTCAATAAAGGAAAAAAGCTGGGAAGTCACCATATGATCTTAACCATTTTGATGCAAAGTAAATGCACACCTGCCCCTTGTGGCTGAGGGGTTGCCTGTAATGGTTGAGACATAAGAATAATAGTCAGCATTTATCCTATGTGATTGTAATTGGTTTGTCCCTGTTTGATTGTAAGGGGCTGCTAAATGGGTTTGAATAATTGGAGTCAATGCATCTCTTAGCTCCAGCAGATGAGATGATTTTGACATGAGATGATTTTGACTCCTGGTATTGCTTTGAAGTTTGTAACACAGAGGTTTAGCCAAAATTATCTTTCCTGTATTCTTGGGTCTACCTTGATCCTTACTGATAAATGATGCAAAATTGTGATGACTCACCTAAATATGTTTTGGAAAAGAAACATAATTTTGGTCACTGAACTAATTATCTTGTTTTGTCATTGTTTTTATGATTGCTAAATGATAGTCAAGCCTAAGAAGTGAAGATAATAAAATACTTACATGAAATTTCGTATAATGGAATAGTATGATATTTTGTTAAGCTAAAAATTTTGAAATATGTGACTGAGACCCTTATATGCATGTTATTGAAAAGTTTTTATTAAGGGATGTATCGGGCAAGCGTTTTGTTATTTTATAGACATTATAAATTAAGTTTTTCCTCTTACTAAACTGTGTAAATATATAGGTATCACATCTTAATATTATTTCTGATTTCAGGAGTAAGCGTACGAGTGCACGAGAACCAGTTGTGGCACCAAGAACTCGCGCAGAAGAAAACATGTCATTTTCACAGGAATTGAAACGCATGGGAGCAACGTAGGTTTTTTCCCACATTTTGAATTTCAAAATTAAGTTTCAAATTGTTGTAGATTCAATCAATTTATTATGATGTTCTTAATAGTTAATCGTTGATATGCTTAGATTACGATATGCTTAGATTACGTTATCCCTGTTGCTGGAGCCTCTACCCTCTATGCTAGCTTATTAGTCAGAAATCTTGAAGATTTGCCAAGTTTAATCAGTGGAAAAACTTTTTTCGAGGAGGGTTAACTTGATTTATGTGCATTTTTGACAAATACCAGAAATTTTTTATTGCAACAAATTTGGTAAATTTCAGGTTTGAAAACAAGTCAGTAGATATCTACTTTAAGTAATGCAAACATTAATATGGCAAACACAAGATAGAAAAGCTATATTTAATTGCTAAAGCTATAATTGACATTTTCGTTAAGTTTCTGTAATTCCGAACAATATCTTTTGTTTCCATCTAGGTACATTAAAACATTAAAAAATCTGTTTTCAAGTGTTGTTGTTTTCATGCTCTAGTAATGTAATCATATATTTCTGTTTTAAATTCAATTACTAATTTTCCTTAATAATAAACTTTTGTTTCACTACCAGTATTTATGGTTTGTAAAAAAAAAAACCAAGAAAAAAAAAAAAAAAAAAAATTGGATATGCACTATATGCATTTTGTTAACAATTATTTAGTAGAGTTGTGGCCCCTTAGTATTGAAAGTAATGGTCCTTTAATAAACAAGTAGTAAAATACAATGCTATTTATAAATCTGATATCATATGTTATTTATAAATCTGATGTCATATGCTATTTATAAATCTGATGTCATATGCTATTTATAAATCTGATGTCATTTATGATACAACTGACGCTTGTGGTGTTATTTAGAACTTTTTATCCATTTATAACTACTGTTTACAGTCAATTCAATTCATAATTCTGGTTCACAAATAGATGTTACCTTGAGCTCTTAAATCTAGCTGTTTCTTATCCAATCCACTGGGTAGAAACAAACCTTTAAAACTCCACTGTGCACTTCCAATATATTTACCAAGTTGTTTATAAAAATGTAAAAGTTTGTTTGTACCCAAAGATTAGCTGGAAAAACCTATCTTTGCTAAGTTGCAGAGTAATTCTATTTCTTGTTAATTGAACCCTTTGCTTATTGTGCATTCATATATAAAAGATAACTTGGAAATTTTATTATTTAAGTTTTGCGTTGTTTGTGTAAATGAAGAGCTTTTCTATGAACAATCTGGAAAAAAACAAAATGTAGTTGATTAAAGTAAAAAACTGTTTTATTTATTTACTTTTTATTTTTTTACAGAAACAAGTAAGTTTTGATACTAGTAGCTATTGTGTATGTAAACAGTGCTGTGAAATATACGTACCACCCTGTGATATGAGTCGCGTCACGACAAAACCAACATAATGCGTTTGCGACCAGCATAGATCGTGACCAGTCTGCGCATCCACGCAGTCTGATCAGGATCCATGCTGTTCGCTCACCAACCCTATTACAAGTAGAGAAACTGATAGTGAACAGCATGGATCCTGATCAGACTGCGCCGATGCTGGTCGCAAATCCATTATGTTGGTTTTGTTGTGACACGGCTCATATATTTATATAGTTTATTGATTTATGTTTACAAATGCTTTAAATATAGACTGTATATTCATCATATCTTTCCCACGTCGCATTTCTGGCGCTGATTTTGGAATATTGATTTAGTCTTGACTAGACTTGTGAATAATTGAGCCCTCCTTGTGGCTGAGGGGTTGCCTTTAAGGGTTTAGAAATCAGATTTGCAGCCACCATTTAGCCCTGCGTGATTGTTAGACGCAACATGTATGTTCGAATAATTGGACTCTATGCAGCTTTTAGTTCCAGCAGGTGAGATGGTTTTGACTCCTGGTGTTGCTTTGTGTAACACCTGAGAGCCTGAATCATCTTTCCTGTTTAGGTGCCATATGACCTAAATTGTATAAATGCGCCAAACAAAACAAAGAATTGAGCAGAAAACACAATAGATTGAATCAAACCTGCGCGCATGAACATACAATTTTCACCATAGCATAAGTCAATTTTTATTTTCCTTTGCCAAAGGCTGTGCGATATAATTTTGGCATTGTCCATCAGATCTGGCTGTTCATCCGTCAGTCTTTTGTTCGTCCAGTGTCAGCTTTTGACACATTGACTAGAGCATAGATAGAACTGTTTCAGTTATGAACCTAACCTTTTAAATGATGAATATACAGTTATTTTTTATTACAAAATGAAGTCTGGGATGTCTTTTTTTAAAAGTTTTTCTTAAATAATTTTTAGAAATAAAATTCATTAAAATTTTAAGTCATACTTTTTCACACATACATATATAAAGTTATAAGGACAATAAGTTTACCATGTCATAAAGCAATTGATCACCTAGACTTCATTGCTTTGTTCTTTTTTTGTGAGTATTTTTCTCGCATTTTGTTGTTTTATTGTGTTATACACAGCAAAAGGTTTAAGGTGTAATTTACTGCTTACAGTGATTCAGTACATGTACATGTATATCAGTTTTAGTTTGCCATTGAATTTGGAATGTTGTCATCATAAATGCTAGAGGTCAAGTGGTTAAGGACGCTGATTTCAAATCACTTGCCCTCTGGCCTCCACCATTGTGGGTTCAATTCCCGTCAGGGACTTTGGTGGATTCTTTCATATGAGGAAGCTATCTAGTGTGCTTACAAAAGGTTGATGATTCTACCCAATTGCCACCTCTTGCCTGAAATTTTGAATGAACGGGGGTCTTAATCTAAAAATAAAAACAACAGAAACACGAATGTTGCAATGAAACTCGACAGTGTTGGGGTGAATTTAAAATCAAAGTGCTGCAGCACTGAATGCGACGGACATGCAACCGGAGAGACATTAATTAAGGCTTCTTTTAGAAAAAAAAAAACAAAACAAAAACAAAACACAAAATATATAACAGAGAAAATTTGTTCCATACAAGTTCGAGATTTGTAGAGCAATATATTTTGTGTCCCAAATTGATATAATTCAGATTTTCTACTTTCAAGCACTTAAATACAGAATGAAATTTATGCCTAAAAACTGTGGTCAAACTTGTAAATCAGTGTCCTTATCGATTTATTCTAAGAAATGATATGTAAATAGAAAAAAAACTATCAACGAAATATTTCTAGAATAAATCCAGGCAAATAAACTTCAAACATAATACATTATACATTTGAGAATGCTATTTAGAATTGCTTCGTGTTATTTCATAGTGGGCATACAGACAATAAAATATAAGTAATTTGTATTTTTATTTCTCTTGGATATGTCTCATTAAAAAAAAATTGGTTAAAATCATCAGCAATTAATAGTGTATTTCTTAGATTTTTTTTATTTACAAGGTAAAGATGTAGAGGCCAGAGCACATCGTTTTTATTTTAATTTAAATGTCACTTAAGCACTACAGTGTTTAGTTGTCCTTTTCAACTTCACACTAAATTCCATTTTCAACTTGTTTGCTTCTTACAATTGTGTAGCATTTCTAAAAGTATTGCATTACAATCCTCTGGTTTATTAATTACATGTTTAATGTGTACTTCCTAATCGCCTGTCCAAAAATCAGAACAGGTGAAGCAGAATCTATTTTTAGAATAGCGAAGGTTAACTTATATCATGACCTAGTAAAATATGTAAACAAACCACAAGAATCGGAAGTAGAACTGATATTATAACTTCCTTACCATGAAAGACTACATGGCGGTAAAGTGTCTTACATGCATTTTCAAAAATAGATATTTATACTAGCCATTGTACTGTATCTAATATATTAATAACTGCTGAATATTCAGCTAAACCCGCGGTATGAGTCACGAAAATAGTTCTTCTTTTATTAATGCGCGAGTTATCCTAGAGTCACGAAAAACTTTTGATTTGTTAATAATAATGTTTTGTATAATGTAGAAATATTTATTTCCTACTAATAATGTCTTGGAACTCAGAGGTTACACCTTTATTGAAGTATAATTTGCTGTCCTACTTTTTCGACAGCGGTAAATCGTTTCAGCAGTAATTTGCATATTGCGCAATAATACTACGGGACTATAACGTTTTTATCAATAATATACGTTCATATTTTAACTTGGATAACTTAATTTGAAATTGAAAAGGCTAAATATGGAAGACATTAAGATATCCAGACAAAGTATGGGAGTTTTGAAGGATCAAATTCATGTACTATTTCTTGGGCTGTTAATTGGTTTAGGACACATTGCGCGAGTGTAGCCAACGAAATCCCATGTGTAGATGACTTAGCTCTGAACGCGCCTGAGGGCGCGTCCGTCGCAAAAACAACAAAAAATGATTAATTTTGTTGATTTCAAAATTGAAGTGCTTAATTGAAGCACTTAATTGTATAAGGCCTTCTTTGGCTACATAAAAGTGTGGTTAGGCCTGGCTCTGTATTGGTGTCATGCATATATTATTCTCATTTTTTAAGGCAAGGCAAAGAACCTGCTGAATTTGTATAATAGATTTGCCCATCTTTTTATTTGGAATAGTCCAAATTTTGAGGGATTTCAAAATAGAAATACAAAAATTGAGCTTGGTCAGACTGCACTGAGTGTAGGCTGGCCTGGTTCTATACTTGTTGGCTAATTAAGACTTATCACATTTGGTGGCTGCAGGTCAAGGGTCAAGATTTAACTATATATATATGCTTTTGAATATTTGTAGCATTAAGGTAGTCTTACTGTAATGCTTTCCTGCCAAAAAATTTCTAACATCGGCCAATATGGTTATAAATCGGTCATTTCTGGAACGTTATTTTTCACAATCTTGGGTATTGAAAAAATGACTCCTGGAAATAATCAATTTGCCACGATATCGGTCGATGTAGGAATTTTTTGGCGGGAAAGCATTACAGTAAGACTGCCTTTAAGCAAGTAGGATGTTTTGCAGTATTTATTGTTTCAGAAAAAAATTGAATTTCTTGTTGTTTTTGTATCAAATGGTTTCTGGCGTGTACAATTATAATCCAGTTATAGAAATGCTTATGTTTGGTATTATATGTAAATATTTTGTTGGCGTTAATGAAAGGGGTTAATCTATATTGGCCATATTATTTTATGATTATAAAATGCTGAATTACTAGTAATGGTCTAAATACAAAATTTAAAAATGGGATGATAATTATTTGTGTCAATTGATTTTAAGAAAAGTTAAGTATTTTCTGAATTAATATTAGGTATATGACATGAAACGAGGGCATTTTTAATTGAAACAAAAAAAAAAGTTTTATAAACTAAGAACAATACATTATTGTTTATTTATTTATTTGTTTATTTTTAATAATTGAAAAATATAACAGTAGTTATTTCAACAGAAAGATGTAATTAATCTTAAATTTTCTGTGTTTTCTTTCTATTTATCAAGAACACAATATCAATTCCTTGCATGTGTCTATTTTCTGACTCTGTCTAACCTCATGCATCCTTCTTGTATTGTTTATGTATTACTGAATGTATATTGTGTAAAATCAGAGATTTCTATTATGATATTATCATAAGTCTGTTAGGTTAGATATATTTAGTTTTCTTGTCAGAAATTGTTTTTAGAGTTGAATAGTTTTGATTGTTCGAATTAATTCCAAAGGCATGATAAGAATCTTACACAATAATTATACTGGTACAGAGTGCAATATCTGGATCCAGGGTTTACTATCAATTTTCTCATGTATTGTGCTCTAAAGAGTTACACGAGAGGCAAATATTCCAGTCTATGATGGTAGCCGATGATTGGTTCTTTTTTTTAGATGTTAATTACGGACTAATAATAAGTAAAGAAAAGTAAATTATTTATTTAAAAGCACCTTTTCTGTATAGCAGGGAATTAATTTACAACTTCATTCATAATGATGTCAGAATTGATTCATTGTAAGTAGTCGTCATAATCATTCATTATGGCGCAAGAAGTTTTTCATCTTAAATATTATGGTCTCATTTATAATGGTGCCAGAATTACTTCATTGTTAGTAATGGTGTCATTCATAATGATTCCGGAATGTTGTCACCCTTAGTACCAGTCTCATTCATAACGGTGCTGGAATGTTGTCACCCTTAGTACCAGTCTCATTCATAATGGTGCCGGAATGTTGTCACCCTTAGTACCAGTCTCATTCATAACGGTGCCAGAATGTTGTCACCCTTAGTACCAGTCTCATTCATAACGGTGCCGGAATGTCGTCACCCTTAGTACCAGTCTCATTCATAACGGTGCCGGAATGTTGTCACCCTTAGTAACAGTCTCATTCATAACGGTGCCGGAATGTTGTCACCCTTAGTACCAGTCTCATTCATAACGGTGCCAGAATGTTGTCACCCTTAGTACCAGTCTCATTCATAACGGTGCCGGAATGTCGTCACCCTTAGTACAAGTCTCATTCATAACGGTGCCAGAATGACGTCACCCTTAGTACCAGTCTCATTCATAATGGTGCGGGAATGTCGTCACCCTTAGTACCAGTCTCATTCATAACGGTGCCGGAATGTTGTCACCCTTAGTACCAGTCTCATTCATAACGGTGCCAGAATGTCGTCACCCTTAGTACCAGTCTCATTTATAACGGTGCCAGAATGTCGTCACCCTTAGTACCAGTCTCATTTATAACGGTGCCAGAATGTTGTCACCCTTAGTACCAGTCTCATTCATAACGGTGCCGGAATGTCGTCACCCTTAGTACCAATGTTGTCACCCTTAGTACCAGTCTCATTCATAACGGTGCCAGAATGTCGTCACCCTTAGTACCAGTCTCATTTATAACGGTGCCAGAATGTTGTCAACCTTAGTACCAGTCTCATTCATAACGGTGCCGGAATGTTGTCACCCTTAGTACCAGTCTCAATCATATCGGTGCCGGAATGACTTTAGTTTATATTTTGACACATATAACACACAGAGTGTGTTGAATTGCATATTCCTGCATTAGAAACTCCCGTCTTGTGTGCAAGAAGATATCAACTTGAATATATATCAACTAGAAAGTCTTCTTTAAATATAAGAAAGTTCTTGTAAGTTGATATTTTTAGCATTTGATACATTGTGAAAAGAACCTTTCCAAAACTACCATCATTTCGTATGATATTTTCCTACTCCTGAAAATTCAGCATTGGATTGTTGATATTATATATTACTAAAGGAATAAGAGGACAGTGTGACAGAAATTTCTGATTTTACTCTATGTTTATGTTGATATTAAAAAGGGAAGAATTTATTGCTCGTGTATGATATAATATGTTGGTTATATATTTTATTTCAGTATATATGAAGCAATTCATGAAAGAACTGGCAAAAACCAAAAAGAGTTGACAGTGGAAAAAGGGGATATTGTACAGGTATGAAAGTTTCGTCCCATTTAAAATGTTGCCACTGAAAATGTTCTCATATTCAATGGCAACAATTTTATTGGAACCTTTCTGATATCAGAAAGGTTCCAATGAAATTGTTGCCATTGAAAATTAATGTTCTTTTTGAAATGGTTTCAATTAGAAATATTCCTTGTAGAAATTGTTGCCATCGAAAATGTTCTTATCAAAATGGTGCACATCATTTGAAATGGCCCCATTTAAAATGTTCCCATTAAATTGTTGCTATTGAAAATGTTTTTATCAGAAATGTATTGATAATGTGCCCATTAAAAATGTTCCATTGAAAATATTTCGAAATGATTTTTTTCATTGAAAGTGTATGAGCATGTATGAAAGAATGCTTATACCTTTAAGATGTATAAATTATGTATACATGTATATTATTAAGGTGTTTTTAATTGTGTAATTTCAGGTATTAGACAAGTCCAGGAATTGGTGGAAGTTAAAGAATTATCAGGGGGAAACAGGCTACGCACCTTACACAATTTTAAAAGAATATCAACCGAGGGATGATTTTGATAATGTAAGCTTTAAGAGATGATGCCAAAGCTATATATGATATATATGTGATAATGATTAGATTAGAGACAGAATTTTGTACACACCCTTGCAGTCTAATGTTAAGTCAGAACTATGTTGATGCTTTTAGTAGAGTGAAGATGATTTTGCACCTAAGCGTACATTCTTCACACCTTTGCAGCCAGGTATATGTGGTTGACACACAGGGCAGGTAAAAGTGTTTGTTCTTTGTTTTAAATTCCTACAATATATTTATGACAAGATGTTAATCCTGTAAAACATTCATTTAGAATCTGAACTAATGAACTAATTAAAGTCTGTCCTAGGAATAGTAAACTAATGTTATAGATGGTAACCAATCCCTAATCTGCTGGAACAAAAGGGATTTGAACTTTGCCTCTAGTATAAAGCCAGGTCAGTCTGCACATCCCTGCAGTCTGACCAATCACTGTACTGTTTGCTGATTTTAAATTTTCATCCTGATATCCCCAAAACTGATAATGAACTGTTCCAATGTATGGGATCTGGACAAGTCCATTGAAAAAATTCACAAGGTTAAGGGTTAGTTTCACTTGTCATTTTGCTAATTAAAAGGCTGTTTAGCAAATTTATTGTTTTTTTTTAAGAATCCCCAGGGGAGGGGATTAGAAAATGTAACATAAATATTATTTGCTCGCTCTGTTTTATTTTTGTTTGATGGATATTTCTGCTATATCTGAAACAAAAATACAGCCTCAAATAATAAAGGATAGTTCTAAAAAAGTAAAGAAGCGATGAAAGGTGGCTAGAAGGCAATATTTTGATGATATAATAAGCAATTAAAAAGGCAAATAATGCTAAGCTGCAATCAATGCTTATAAAGATTTAAGTAATCTGCTGATAGATCTAGTAATATTTGATTTAATACAGAATTTTTTCTTGCTTTTTAATGCTAGATTAAAATTTTAAAGTTATATAATTCATAGGAACCAGTTTACATTACATCTATGTAAATTTACATTACCCTAACTTGTTATAATTTGTAGGAACCAGATCACCTTACATCCATGTAAATTTACATTACCGTAACTTGTTAATATTTGTAGGAACCAGTTTACATTACAACAATGTAAATTTACATCACCGTAACTTGTTATAATTTATAGGAACTAATTTACATTACATCTATGTAAATTTACATTACCGTAACATGTTATAATTTGTAGGAACCACTTCTATTACATCTATGTAAATTTACATTACCCTAACTTGTAATAATTTGTAGGAACCAGTTTACATTACATTTATGTAAATTTACATTACCGTAACTTGTAATAATTTGTAGGAACCAGTTTACATTACATTTATGTAAATTTACATGACCGTAACTTGTTATAATTTGTAGGAACCAGTTTATCATCGATCATAGTTATCAAGCAAGTCAAATTTCAATGAGTGAAAAATTTTAAAGTAAGACAAAGTGGCTAATAATCTTGTACTCTATATAAAGATATACGTTATTAACAAAACACATAGACAAATGTATTCTGTTTTGCTTGTGGGGCTGTGATGGAAATTAAGTTTAATCTTTCATTAAATTTTCCTATGACATGAAAAGTCATGCTTGTGGAGATAGAATTATGGAGGGAACGATTTGACTAATGGGCTGAACACACTAAAATCAAAACAATTTTTTCTGATTTGTTTTTAGTGAGTGAAACTAATATTTAAAATTTTAAAGTTGGGAGGCCTGTCAATGGCTAGAGCTTGAAACATTAATGGCTAGAGCCAGAAACATTGGTGTTTTATATAAATGGCTTACCGACTCAGAAAATACAGTAAATTAATTGGAAAAAAAAGGGTATATGTAGCAACTGTTGTGAAAGGGTTCATGTGCCTGTTTTACTCTCTTTCCCTCCACCTTGTTTTTGAAAAGAAATCTAAGATGAATCAATTATATTTATCTGCAGAGATGGAGACTTGTCAAATTTTAGAAAAGTTCAAATTCATTATATAAATTTATGATGGTATTTGTTAAAATGATAATTGAGCTGTGCCATGACAAAACCAACATAGTGCGTTTGTGACCAGCATGGATCTAGACCAGCCTGCACATCCACGCAGTCTGATCAGGATCCATGCTGTTTGCAATCAGTTTCTCTATTTGTAATAGGGTTGGTTAGCAAACTGTATGGATCCTGATCAGACTGTGCAGATGTGCATGCTTGCCTGAATCCATGCTGGTCTCAAATGCACTATGTTGGTTTCGTTATGGCGCGGCTCATAATATTATAAGACATCACAGCCCTTTTTAAATCTCACTTGAATCTTGATTTGCTACTGTCATTTATATAATATTAGTTTCTATATTTAATGCATAGTTCTAATAAACTGTAGATAGCATTAATTTTAGCTGTAATACCTTAATAAAATCTTACCTGCATAGAAAATTTAGAAAAATTGGGCATTTTCTGGCTGATATTTTGTGGACATATTTAATAGTGAGTACTGTCATATTTAAATTAATTTCAAGATTGTGTCTGAAATTGAGGGGCACCTGAGGTCTTCCTTGAATGTGCTTGAAATGGAGGGCATTAAGGGGCACGTGAGGTCTTCCTTGAATGTGCTTGAAATGGAGGGCATTGAGGGGCACCTGAGAACTTTCTTGAACATGAATGTGCCTGAAATTGAGGGCATCAAGGGGCACCTGAGGTCTAATCCTTGAATGTGCCTGAAATTGAGGGCATTAAGGGGCACCTTAGGTCTTCCTTGAATGTGCCTGAAATTGAGGGCATTGAGGGGCACCTGACGTCTTCCTTGAATGTGCTTGAAATGGAGGGCATTGAGAGGCACTTGAGGTCCTCCTTGAATGTGCTTGAAATGGAGGGCATTGAGGGGCACCTGAGGTCTAATCCTGGAAAAGTCACCATGTGATCTTTCTATGTTAATGTGACTTAAATTTTTATCATGCAGACCGCAGTAACCCCCGCCACCACTGCAGACCAAAATCAGCTGTCATTCTTTTGCCTTTTGTCGTAAATCTATCAGTACTTATTTTGAAATTTTTCAAAAATTTTAGTTTCAAGTGGGTTTTTGTCATGATTGAGAGAGCAACAGATCTATTTTAGATATTTATTAGCGTAGCAAGGATGATAATTAAACTGTACCAAAAAAACTTCTTTCATATTCATTCAATAGTTTGGTCGTTGTCAGAAAAAAGGTATTTTCTAAGGGTATGATTTTTTTTGGTCTCTTATTTATTTTGCAGGTTTGTTTTTATTTTATAGTTTTTCTTATACAGTAAAACCTGTGAACAAAGGTCACTAAACTGAGGGACCTAACATGACAGTAATAGACAAGTGGTCTTTATTTGGAGGTTACTCTGTTCTATTTATTCAATGAAGGGTTATTGAAGGTTGACCTTTATTTACAAGGTGGTCTTTATTTACAAGGTGGCCTTTATTTACAGGGTGGCCTTTATTTACAGGGTGGCCTTTATTTACAAGGTGGCCTTTATTTACAAGGTGGCCTTTATTTACAGGGTGGCCTTTATTTACAAGGTGGCCTTTATTTACAGGGTGGCCTTTATTTACAGGGTGGCTTTTTGTTAACACAGGTTTGACTGTAGTTTTAACTTTCTATGTACATGTATGTTTTCTAACCAACTCGACTCTTCCTCTTACAGATGATACCTTCCTATTAATTGTTATCAATTAGGGATAACACACAGTGTAAGAATATTTTCTCTCCACTATTGTAATGTAACTGAAAGTATGCCTGGATATATATATATAGCACTCTCTGTCTATGATTATATTTTCAATGTGTGAATGCTTGAAATTATATATACAAATAAAATATATACAAATGAAATATATACAATTCTAACGCGACCAATTCTAACACGACCAACATTTTTCAATATTGAATAAAATTATAAAAGAACCGAAAGTGTGTGTTATTATGCAATAAAATCACTGTTTGACATTCTATATTTAGACATGTGACGTAATCATTATACACGTGACGTAACCACTAAAAATGTGACGCATTGAAAATAAGTACGGAAACAAATCAGGCGCAGTTTAGCTTTATATCAGGTACGGCAGCATTTATTTGATGATGTCGTGTTAGAATCGAAATTATAATATATCTAAATCGGTGATTTTATCGCTGTTTGTAGTTGGGATTGCGTTGTCAATCTTACTTATCAAGTCTGTATATTTGTTAATCAAACAGTTTCTGTTTGTTAGGGATAGGTTATGTTTAAGTGCCTCTATGGCCTAGTGGTCAAGGTCACTTTTATGCTTCATTTGTATGCAGATTAAGTCCCACTTCAAGACTTGGGACATTGAATTCTCTCGAATGGAAACTGTCCAGCTAGTTCAAGAATGGTCCCTTGTTCTTATTTACATATTTAGTTCATAACAAACAGAATGCAAATGTATAAAAATAAATTCCTACTATGGCTGTATATAATTCGAAATCACGACCAGTGGTTTGCATGTGAAAGTAATCAATTTCTTGACACTATTGTTATACCCCCGCACAACAAAGTTGTAAGGGGGGTATACTGGAATCAGCTTGTCCGTCCGTCCGGCCGTCCGGCCGTCCGTCGGTTTTTTCTTGTCCGCCCAATAACTTAAGATTCCTTTGACCCTTAGTCTTCATATTTGGCATGGAGGTTAGTCATGATTAGTAGATGACCCCTATTGATTTTGAGGTCACTAGGTCAAAGGTCAAGGTCACAGGGGCCTTGACTTCAAAAAGCTTGTCCGCCCAATAACTTAAGATTCCTTTGACCCTTAGTCTTCATATTTGGCATGGAGGTTAGTCATGATTAGTAGATGACCCCTATTGATTTTGAGGTCACTAGGTCAAAGGTCAAGGTCACAGGGGCCTTGACTTCAAAAAGCTTGTCCGCCCAATAACTTAAGATTCCTTTGACCCTTAGTCTTCATATTTGGCATGGAGGTTAGTCATGATTAGTAGATGACCCCTATTGATTTTGAGGTCACTAGGTCAAGGTCACGGTCACAGGGGCCTTGACTTCAAAAAGCTTGTCCGCCCAATAACTTAAGATTCCTTTGACCCTTAGTCTTCATATTTGGCATGGAGGTTAGTCATGATTAGTAGATGACCCCTATTGATTTTGAGGTCACTAGGTCAAAGGTCAAGGTCACAGGGGCCTTGACTTCAAAAAGCTTGTCCGCCCAATAACTATAGATTCCTTTGACCCTTAGTCTTTATATTTGGCATGGAGGTTAGTCATGATTAGTAGATGACCCCTATTGATTTTGAGGTCACTAGGTTAAAGGTCAAGGTCACAGGGGCCTTGACTTCAAAAAGCTTGTCTGCCCAATAACTTAAGATTCCTTTGACCCTTAGTCTTCATATTTGGCATGGAGGTTAGTCATGATTAGTAGATGATCCCTATTGATTTTGAGGTCACTAGGTCAAAGGTCAAGGTCACAGGAGCCTTGACTTCAAAAAGCTTGTCCGCCCAATAACTTAAGATTCCTTTGACCCTTAGTCTTCATATTTGGCATTGAGGTTAGTCATGATTAGTAGATGACCCCTATTGATTTTGAGGTCACCAGGTCAAAGGTCAAGGTCACAGGGACTTTGACTTCAAAAAGTTTGTCTGCCCAATAACTTTAGATTCCTTTGACCCACAGTCTTCATATTTGGCATGGATGTTGATCATGACTATAAGGTGACCCCTATTGATTTTGAGGTCACTGGGTCAAAGGTCAAGGTCACAGGGACCTTGACAAAAAAAAGCTTTTCTTCTCAATTGCTAAAGAATGTCCTGTCCGCAATGTATTGATTTTGACATTTTCACATTTGAAGCATGTAGAATACATAACTTAGCAATGCACTGGCTTAGTAACCTCAGATTTGGCAGGGAGGTTGTCCTTGAGCTCTAAATGGCCACTGTTGATTCTGACAAAGTGGTATGCGGGGGTATTCACGCCATGATAGTGGCAGTTCTAGTTATTTGTTAAGATGTTAGATTTGCAATCAACTGTTTGCCTTGGAAATTATTCTCATGAAGGAATCCCACCTTGAATCAATTGCTGGACAGTTGACATAACTTTTACATACTGCTACTTTGACAAATTGCAATAAAGAAATAATTAATTTTTTCCAAGGTTTGTAAATTTGGGGATAAAATAATAAATATTGGTATAAAGCTTTTGGATTTCCTGCTGGGAAAAATTCTGAAATGTTTCTTAGAAAAACTAATGAATATGGAAACAAAGACAAATTTATGATAATTACTATTTCTTCCAATGAATATTTATGTCATTCAATTGAATATTTATGTGAATGAATATTCATTCATATTGAATATTTAAATTTATGAATATTCATGTTCATGAATATTCATGCAAATGAATATTTACAATAATGAATGTTTATGCAATTGAATTATATGGAAAAAAAATCATGCTGATAATTATTCATGTTTATAAATATTCATCATATGAATTATTTATGCTAATGAATATTCATGCTACATTAAACTTCTAACATTGGAATTAAATCTAGATTGAGAGTGCAGTGTGGTTTTGGACTAACAATTACTAAAATAACAATTAGTAGTAGATATAAAACATCCATTAGTGGAGGAGCTTAAACCTTTTACCTGCTGGAGCCGGAAATAGTTTGCCTTCGCCACAACTCAAGAGCCAGGCCAGCCTGCTTGACCATGCAGTCTGAACAGGTTCTATACTGTTGACTGACTAATTTATCTTGATTTCCCCTTACTTGATAATGGACAGTTCCAAAAATGGAAGCTGGACAAGTCCATTTTAGAAATTCAGCAGGTTAAGGGTGAAACATTGTACCACGTTATGAAAATGTAATTGTACCATTGAATTTGAATAGCGTATTGTATTTGAGACCCCTTGTATAGAAACCTGTGTAATTTTTCAAAATGAATTCTGATGTACAAATGTAACTCCGAATTTAAAACTTACTTTAAATTGATTATGCAGCAAACTGCATTTATTAGAGAAAAAAAAAGAATTTACTTCATAATTTGACAACACTGTGATGTATACAATATAGTTTATACAAACATCACGATCATCCAATGAAATGCCCCGTTACAAACTTGCAGTGTAATGTAAATTTAGGGAAAAATAATGAAGACAATAGGTAATGGATAAAAGTGCATGCTGAGAAAATGGTAATGCTCTATGTTAAATGTTTTGTTATAATGTTCTGTTATATGTTACATTATATGTTACGTTATATTCATATTACGTTACATTTATATTATGTTGTAAAGAAATTTCAATATCATGGTTGCTTGATATTGCTTGTTATATTGGTTGTAGAGATTGGATATTATTATGATATAATACTATGAAAAACAGTTTCAACCCCCTCCTAGAAATAATAAATATGTTTGGCATTTCAGCATGTATTAAGTTGACAGATTTTGTTTTTCTTACAAGAAATGCTTTTTTATGTTAATATTGTATTGGATATGTATTGCGGTTTGGAATGCATGGCCTGTTTATTTTTTTTTATTGAAAACAAAATGTGTGTTTTATCAAATTATATGATACAAAAAAATTAAGTAACTATTTAAAATTAAAAAATGAGTTACGATGTTAAAGTTTAATAAAGTGTATTGAAATGATGTCTTTCGGTTAAAATAAAAACTTTACAGATTTAAAGCAAGCACCTTCTTTAGGTTTAGAAGTTATGGTCACAGATGTTGTTATTATTTGAACTAAATTTAAATAAATTTAAATAAAAGTAAGTGTAACAATTGAAACAGTTTGAGTGCATACCAAATTTGTAATTCTTTTTGAAGAAATTTTGATAGATATGGATTATATCATACACATTTGTACAAGGTTTTGATCAAAAACTGTAACAATGGAGTGATTTCCCTTGGAATTTGTCTCTTTGGGAGATCAGAGATTAAAACTTCATAGGATTAGAGAGTATTTTTATATTTTAGAGATTAAACTTTGTGATTAGAGATTATTTCACCTGTATTTTCAGATCTAGGAGACAAGGAAAATGTTATGAAAATAAATTATCATGTAACATGTCTGTTTTTGTTTTTGTAGGGAGGCGGCGGTGGTGGACAAAGACGTCTGAGTGGAGATTATAGCAGTTATATAAATGGCGGTGCTCCGCCACCACCTCCCCTACCCGCAGCAGGATCAACTAGACCAGCGAGCCGCGGAGGTGACAAATCCTTTCGATACTTTTGATGACCAAATGTCTTATTTCTAATTTTTCATTTTTTTTTTTTTTTTTTTTTTTTTATTTTTCCCATTGGCAAAATTACAAATTTTTATTTTTGCATTTTAACATTAAAATAACATGCTATTATTATTAGATTGATAAATGTGTTATTCTTCATGATGTAAATGAAAGTACATCATTGTTATGTGTTGTTTTGCTCTTTCTAGAAATGAATCAACTTGAATGTTGACTCAAACATGTACTTCGGACTTTTATAGAGAGTGATTTATTTTTCATTGTAGAAATAAAATATCAGATATCATCATTGATATTCAAAGGCTGCTATATTGTATCACTCAGATGATATTTGTTTCATTTTGTAAAAGATATAGATTATATTTCACTGAAATATAGAACTATTTTTACATTGAGTGAAATCAAAATAAATTCAAGGTGAAATGTGTTCTGTATTGACTCAAAATTTTTAACCTGCATTGCTCTTTTATGCTAATTGATGAATAATATACATTATTAACAGTGACATGTATACAGTTAGTGATATCGGATATATCTCACTTATATATTCTGGTATGGTATTTCATTATTTAGCATAAAATGAATAGGCTTTTCATGTTATGTTCTTTTTGTATGATCAAAAACTGCTACCACATAAATCAGTGATGTCATCGCCAGAGTTTAAGGGGGAAAATCAAAATTTTTCTGAATTAACCATATTTTTTAAATTTCTAAAGTCTCGCAGTTTTACCAAAAGTGGTATAGATTTATCCAATAAGATGCTAGAAATCTAACTTTTGTCATGCTTTACTTCGAAATATTATTGACTTTAAAATAAGAAATGCAAGATTTAATTGCTTTATCCTAAATTGGTACCAACTTAAAATAGAAATTAAAATTGGTCTTGTTATGGAATGGTACTGACCTATATTTATCTATTAGATTGAAGCGAGATATTTTTTTACCGTTACCCAAAAGCAAGCACAGTATTTAGCTGAAAGTAGTACTGGGTTGATTTTGAAGTGAAATGATTATTAGTGATGAACCCTGTGTTAGAAATTATCTGTTGTGAACATTATTTTTGTTGCCATGGAAATATATTTTATTGTACATATTTGTAGTTTATATAATGATCATGTATAATACAAACTTACATATCATTCTGATCCCTTATTATGCAAAGACTAAACATGTGTGAATTGTATGCATACATATGTGTATATATATTTTTGTATATGTGTTGTATAGAATTTCATGTAAACATGTACATAAATAATTTTTTCGTTTTGTTTTTAATCTTGCAAATTATGTGGTCATAGGAAAAATACAAAAAATACACTTTCATTCTTGAAAGCATGAAGATGTGTTCCATATACCGGTATGCTGTGGCTATATTTAGCTTGACACAAAGTGAAATTAGGTCAATGTCATGGAAACAAGGTCAAGGTCAAATATTGCAATAACAACAACAACAACAACAATGGAGACCTGCATTAGTTGATTTAATGCACTAAGTTTTCCAGCAATTATTCTTAGGTACATTATTTATCAGATAAAAAGAATTTGCATGTTATTTTGAATATCATTGTCTGATTTTCAAAAAATTATTTTGAAATTTTAACCAATCACAGAGTTTGTTACATCTTGTTACACTCGCATCTTCAAAGGATTTTTCATATATCTTGATTTTTGTTTGTTTGAATTTGAAATTTCAGATTTAAATGATAAGAATTATATACTTTTTGTCGTTAAATAACCATATTTGTAATTATTTGTTTATGTATTATTTTAGTTTGTGATTTTGTGGGTATGTCCAAAAAGTATTTGTCTGCGTTTGGGAAAGGATGTTTTTATCATTATTATTATTATTACTTACTTGAAATTCTATTGTGTAGAGATGTTTTTATATCAAGTTATATAAATATAAATATATATTATATATATCTATGTAATAAACTTTAATATTTTCATTATATCGTAAAAGTGAATAATTAGGAATCATTAATAGAATTATTGCATTATAAATATCATTTCTTGCCATTGAAAATAAATCATTGTATGTACAGTGAAACATTTGCATGATTTTATTTTAAAATTCTGTCGGTTTGAGGTAATGAGGCTTGAATATTGAGTGCAGGCAAAAGTCTGTTCTGTCATTGGTCAGTTTTTGAAACTTGATTTTAAATGTCAACCAATCAAATGCCAGAACTATTACCTTTGAACTTCAGAATGTGATCATCAGCTTTAAACAATCTCCTGATGTTGATTTAAATAGCTTTAATTACATGTTTTCTCATTTTAAATTTTCTTATCTTTCTGTAGAACTGTTTTAAAAAAATAAAAGGGACATTATACAATTTTTTGTGTAGATAATGTCTTTTTATGGACAGTTTGTTGCTTTTGAAAATAATAGTTGAAATACCCAACATCTAAATACATGTAGGTATTGTTGTATGACAAACAGATGATTATTTGATATTTTGTCTCGTCACCGTACTGCAATAACTGATCAACTCCTATTGAATTTAGTAGAACTTATTTTGTTATCTACAGAATCAGGAGGTATGCACCTATTAACTAATTGTGCAATTTGACTTCCACTTTCCTGTGGTTTGTTCTTTTTAGAAAGTTATTGACACAATTAAACATGATTGCTTAATACCAAGGCCTCCTTTGAGTGTCTATTGTTTAAAGAAGGAACATAGAAAATCTTGTTATTTAATAATCTTCTTCTAAGTCATGATTTATTTTTTGTTAAAAATAATGAAACAACAAAAATACTACCTAATTATGGCAAATTTTCTATAGTATATCAATAGAATATCAGGTAAGAAATTCGGGTATGCATAATGCATTTAACTTTTCTAATTTGTATACAAAATAATAATTGCAAGACAGGATATTATTCATCTGAAATATGAAACTTGATTATTTTTTCTACCATAAGAGTTCAGTCAATGCTGTCACCATTGTGAACTTACCTTTGTTAAGAACATTTGTTAGTAACAAACTTTTAACATTAAAAAGACACAATGAGTATTATAGGTTAAAGCAGCACGTTTCCAAATTTATGCTTATTGTCATGAATTTTTTTTAAATCTATAAAAAAAAAATAGATATATATTGTCAAATAAACAAAGAAAGTAATTTCCACATTGCAAACAACACATTCAGTAGAAGTAAACTTACCAAATAAAGGTCAAAATAGCCCTAAAATTGCCCTTACTGCATTAGTAACACAGTAGCAACTTTGTTAGTCGCGCAGTAGCATTATGGAGAATCAGTCATTCATTGCATATTATAACAATTACATGTAAATCATTACTTGAATTGTGAATATTTTTCTCTTTCTTAAAATCTTTGTTCATTTTTCTCAAAGTTGACTTATTGAAATTTTTTTGTGCAGCTTTAAGTTAAAACTACCATACTATGCACATACCTATCAGAACCCAATGAAACTTAGTGAAGTTTATTTTAATACTTATACCATATAAATTGTGATTACATACTTTCAAAACTCTTTTTTCAGGTGGTCAGTTTCAATTTTTACTTTATCTTGATTTTTGTTTGAAATTTTGAAAGAATAAAGTTAGAGTTGTGTTTATAGGGGCACAATAACTTTATTTTGTTTCTCAGACTTTGTGTTAAAGAAAATAGATCTGATTTTGTTTATATGTTGATACAGAGGACTTGTGGAAAGGCAGGCTCGAGGAATTTGGTCAGCGGAAACTATACATGTTCTGATTTAACTGAAAAAAGAAAGCCACTAGATGTTGACGGGCAGATTTTGAAATTAATGCAGATATACAAACATCAATATAATTATGTACACAGTATTTACATTAAGGAACAAACAAATAATGAGGAAAGAAAGAAAATATGCATTACTCCCAAGTTGTAGGTTACAAATTTTAAAAAAGGCATAAAAAAACAACAGGTTTTGAATAGGTATAAATTGGTAAATTTTTTGAATTTTTTTATAAAAAAAAAAATAAGAAAAGTATTTAACAAGGACCACCATTTACAGCTTATGCTTTTTAAAGCTACCCTGTGTTCGCTATTCTCTTTGATTTTCAGTATTATAGAACTAGTTGCCAGTTTTAGTATTAGCATTCACTGATACATTGTGGTAAATCAGTCTCTTGAGGTAGTATCAGCACCTAGCCCCTGACTGATTTATTAACATGCAAGGACAAAACATAAAACATATCATGCCAATCTACTTAAGGGGGGTTGGAGGTAGATAGATAAATATTGCTAGCATAAGCTATAATTATATATTCCATATCTGGTATGAGGTCAGCTAGTTTATTTTTTTTTGTAGAACATTTAAATCATTGAAATTTTAAGTTTATTTGGCAAACAGGCATATTACATGTATATTAAATATAAATAGTTCTAGCTCATTGCACCTGGCTTCAGGAGACAGGAAAAAAATCCATAGTTTTGTAACTTGCTATCCAATTGTTTATATTTTCTACCTTCACAGCTAAATCCAACCTTTGCTTTGCCTTATCTGGCTCCTTTTGTGGCTTTACAGCTTTGCATAGACAAGTATAAGGGTGTTTTAAACTATACATGTATTTAAAACTCAGTTTTAGGGCTCAATGGAAAAACTAGCCTATATCTTCCACAATGTATATACACATAAGACATGTCTAGTTTTACTTTGAGCCCTATGTTGAGGCAATATACAAAAATTTATACCTATAAGAAACACCAATGCAAACTATCACATTTCCTTGCAGATCACAGACTTTAAGAGTCACCATTGCTTTATGTTTATCACTATTACAGATTTTGTAAAATATCAATCAATATTTTTATATCTCAGCACTTATATGATCCCTTATTATGAGGTATTGATACTTCCATATGAGGTATTGATACTTCCATATGAGGTATTGATACTTCCATATGAGGTATTGATACCTCCATATGAGGTATTGATACCTCCATATGAGGTATTGATCATATGAGTGTGA